CTATCCACACACAAAGATTTGCATCTGACCCAAAGCCATGGGCCCCAGAAATCAAAGATGGAACATCATAGAGAGAGCCCCAAGCATGGCCATGTCCAATACGAGAATCACGATTTTTGTTTAATCTCAGGTAACTCAACAACTATCATGCAGTTGGGAATCTCTTGGTCACTCCTTGGCACCCCATTCTTCGTTGGGAATATGGATAGCCATAGCTCCTTAGCTTTTTCACCTAGCTTTGTATACCTTTCTGTGAAAGCCATGGCCCAGCCCCCCATCTCCTGCAGTTGCCCAACAGGGAATCAGACAGCAGGTACGTCAACTTGTTGTCCCTCGGGCAATGGCTCAGGTCACAGGTCCTTCCAAGGTATCCCATCTTTCGGAGAAGAATAGCCATCCACCCAGCCCGGCCTGCAACCAATGTGACCTGCACGAGATTGGACCCCGGTGACCCCGGGAGCCTGGAAAAAAGCAGAAGCTGTCTCCAAATTTGAAGTGACCAAGAGCAATCATTGGATCTCAGGATTCTTGATGATTATTGAGTCTCCAGACCCTAGGCTCAGTTTCTTTCTCATGATGCCACACTGAAGTGAAACAAACCTGGAGGCTCCTGTCGTGAGTATCTTCCCAAAAAATATTGCTAGAGATATGGCACAGCACATCTGCTTCATCCAGCCATTGTAGCTCTTCTGGTCCACTGGAAGGGTTATCATGGCTCCTCAGCAAGCCTGATTCCATTTCAAGTATATATATATGTGTGTGTGTGTGTGAAAGGATCTCCTTGGACTTCCATCGGCGATACGGGATACGCTCCCTGCGTATCCAAATCATTCATGACGGTTTGCCCCTTCCCTCTGCCATGACAGCCCCAAATGACGGAGATGTTTTTGCATGGCGTCCCGCCCAGATTGACAAAAAATGGGGATGCTCCCATTGCTAAAATATGCTAACATCGTACCCCTCCCCCAATTTTCAACAGCCCAGGGGCTATGAATGTAGGGTTGATATTTCCCAAAAATCCCAGGCTTTGTTATAAGTTTATTGTCATGTTGGGTATCAAAAGTGCCATGAACTGGAAGACAGTATAGTAAGTAATTAAAGTCCCCATATTCAGACCCAAAATATTCCAAAATCACATTGGTGGTTATAAATGGTGATCTTGGGATATTAAACCAAAATAACTCGGTGACCCAAAATATTTCAAAAAAACACATTGATAAAAAGATTCTTAGATGTGAATATCAATCTGCTATGACATCTAATATCCCAAGACATCTAATAATTATCACCATGTCTGGCTATATACCAAAATATCCCAAAATATACCATTATTATCCAATATTAGTGGTTGATTCAGTATAATCGTCTTAATTACCACCCAAATATATATATATATATATACCGAACATATCCCAAAAAATATCATTATCTATTATTCATAGAATTGGATTATGGGAAAAATTAGAGGAAACCCCCATATTTAATGGTAAAAACCATGGTTTCCTGTAGATTTTCCCTTAAACCAACCCAGTGAATTATCTATTACTGGTGGTTTAAAAGAACGGCTTGGTTCGAAATCTTGTCGTCGAGCGCCTCGACGTGGCGAATCCCGAGCGCCTCGACGAGGTGAATCCTGCGTTTTTTTTTTGGCGTGTTTGCGGCGTGGGGGGAACAAAGGTTTTGAGTTTAAAAAAAGCATATTATATAATATATATATATATATATTTAATATAATATGTATATATATATTTAATATATGTATATATATATACACGTATATATAAAGATACCCTGCATTTTCACCTACCTGGAAACCCCTATGCTACTTTCTTCATCACTTTTGAAAAAAAAAGGTAATGTTGCCCTTCCATCATTTGACATCACCCATTCGTCACCATATGGGGATGGGTCAAGTTACCTTGTACCCCCCAATATGGTTCACATCAAGTCATCGCTGGGATTTATGGATGAAAATTTGGCGTAAAAAAATGGAGTCTTTATAGCTATCCATGGCCATATCTTAACCATGGCCATAGCTATGACAGCTATGACAGCCTCCCTTTTGATGGTCCCAATGGTTAAGCGGTTAAGCTTCGCCTGCGCAGAGAGGCGTTTGATCACCAGGCCCAACGACAGCAGGCCTCAAGTCTGGGAGGTTTCGTCCGCGAGATCACCATTTCTTGGGCCATTTTTGGTGAGCACAATGGGAATGTTCATTAGGATATGATGGGGATACTGTATTTCATGGGATACCCCGTGGTAAGTTAACATAGCTATTGAAAATCACCATTGTGAATGGATTTTTTATCATGATAAATCATCTGTAAAAGGGCGATGGTCATCCATTTTCCATAGCTGCATTTAAATTAACAGAGGGTATGCAAGCTTAAAAAGTGGTATCCAAAAAACTTATGTAACTCTATATATATATAGAGAGAGAGAGATACATATATAATCATATATAATAATATACAATCAATGAATTGGAATGCCTGAAGGGATTCTTTGCTGATAAAACCATGGTTTTTACCAGATTTTACCAGTAAGTATGAGCGTTCCGCGAAAAATTTTCCTCAGGATACATCCCTCCGATTCCCCCGAGCTGAGTAGATTGATACGGAGTAGCCGTACCCGGACATCTACCCTCTGGTTATGTCAAAATAGCTATTGAAAATGGCCATTTATAGTGGATTTAGCCATTAATAATGGTGATTTTCCATAGCTACGTTAGTTTACCAGAGGGCCATGATATGACAACTAAAAATCATCCAGTTGTTGACGATTTTGTGTCTATAGACGCAATAGCTATTTGCAGCTGATTTCCCACTATCTCAGATTACCAGAGGGAACCCATCCTTTACAGGTAAATTCCCCATGTTTAAAATAGCTATATCGCCAGTTTGTTTCAGGTAAATCCTATTTTTGTTAGTCTCTGATCATAAGTCCGCAGACGAAGAGAAAGGTGAGTCCAAACGTTGAACTCGTTCGGCTCTCTCCATCCGTGGAGCAAAAATCAAAGTCTCCAATTCCTGGCTCTAGCCCATTCCTAAGTTGGATTATATCCAAATATCATTTACCCTCTGGTAAACTAACATAACTATGGAAAATCACCATTTTAATGGGAAATTCCACTATAAATGGGCCATTTTCAATAGCTATGTTAAATTACCAGAGGGTAGATAAGCCTCATTATCCCATATCAATCCATATCATCTATCAAAACATATTAAGCCACATCAAAAAAATCGCAGTGACAACCCCTTTCGGCATGGGATCGGATTGGGCTTTCCCGGCTGGTATTGATGAGTCGCGACTCGCGCTGTCTCACCTGCCACTTGGAGCAGCCCACAGATCCGATTGGGTCCGAAAATTGAGGGCAAAGCCCCAAATCATTGATCATGGTGCATCTAATGTTTAGCTGGTGAATGGACTAATTTTACCATTGATAGCAAAAGATTTGAACCCAGATTGAAACAAAGGTTAGTATCTAACAAAGGTTGACCCGTATCTAACAAAGGCTGACCCAATTGATGGTTGATCATCAACTGGCCCCATCGAAATGGCCCCTTTTCAAACCGGGCGAAATGTCGCTACTGTTGGACACTCCCAAAATCGTATTGCTCATAATTACAGACTTACACTGGTTGGTGGTTGAGCCTACCCCTCTGAAAAATATGAGTCAGTTGGGACATGACCAATATGATGGAAAGTCATAAAAATCATGTTCCCAAACCACCAAGCAATACAGATATACATCCAACTATCCCCACAAAATGCTTGAGTTTTTAGATCCCCATCTGTTTAACCTTGATTTATCCCATAAAATATCAACAATTTTGAAGATCCAGGAAACCCACACATCAATGGATTGGTTTAAGGGAAAATTTACAGGAAAGCCCCATATTTGATGGGAAAATCTATGGTTTCCTGTAAATTTTCCCTTAAACCAATCCAATCAACACAGCGCTCTTTTTCGAATGGCGACGCGTAACCGCCGCCCCAGCGTTTGATGGGGCGTCGGAACTGCGCTGCGTCGGAATTGGCGCCCGGGGGAAAAAGAGGCGTAACGGGGAGCCCCGGGGCGATGGACTGGAGGTGCAAAGAAGTGATAAAAAAATCCCCGCATTTACCATATATGGGTGGTATAAACATGTATAAACCATCAAAATATGAGAGGTTTACTGTGGTTAATGAATGTTAATGATTGCTTTACCGGCCAGTCACTGATCCAATCCCTTCCAAAAAAGGACAACTCTATGGTGATTTGACCTGCACTAGGTTAATTTGAAGGCTGATCCAACAGATATCCAGCCAAGGTTTAGCCACCTATGGGGTGTTCAAAAAAAGGGAAGTGACTTTTCTTTGCATGAAACTAGCGCTTTTTGGTTGGAAAAGCCGTGTCTTGTCACCCTGGACATGTCTCATACATTCTAACACCAAGTCATCTTGTCATGATTCAAAATCTCCAATCCCAAAATCTGCTGATGAAACCGGCTTAGCCATGCTGATTTTTGCGCTTGTACGCGGGCCACACAACACTTTGTTGCATGGCTGGTGTGGTGCAGCTTCAAACGGGGAGCTGCATCTGGTCAAAAAGCTCAAACCAGAGCCCTGGGCATCCAAACCAATGGAATTCCCTTCACTAGACATAGATATGTGGAAACCGCCTGCCTTGAATCAGAAAGAAAGGAATGGGAAGTTGGGCAAAAGTTCATATTGAGGCATCTTCAGACTTATTTTTTGTTCAGGTAGGGTGTTGCAGAATTGACGGCCCGAATAACTAAGATGTGTGGGCCCCAATTCGTCACTGGACAATGACATATGCAATAGCTTAATAAGCATCAATGACCAATCACGATAACATAAGTGAGCAAATCCCATCTATTCATTCTGTGAAATACCCATGCTTATGATTAATCACCAAGCAAATCCCGGATTCTGGTCAGAGCAAAACATCCCGGCGGGGCGTTGCCTTTGGGCATGTGCCCCACAGCGTCAGCTCAGAAGTAGCCAGAAGTGGCCTAGACCCGCAACCACGACCCAAGTGCTGGAGAAGACTCTCATTTTTCCAAAACAATGTGCAGCACAATTCAGCGTACGCAGCGTACGGCTTGTGGGCGTGTTTCATACTATGGTCACCCAGAACGAAATCATATGATTGTCATATTATGGTCACCCAAATAATACTACGGTCCATGGACTCCATATTTTTAGATTGAAATGTTTTACAATATCATTTTGGGGGTGGCGCTATGGGATGAAATGCCATCACCAAGCTCCCCCGCGGAACGGCTGAGGGTTCTCAGCTGCAGTTGATAGGTTCCTCTGGTGGTCCTCAGCCGAGGCGGACAAAATCTCAGCTGGTAGGCATCCCAAAAAAATGTTCCCCTGGGATGATCATCCTCTGGAAAAGTGAAGATATCTTAAAACATGTCAAAATATCTCAACTTAGAAATTGGTGAGGTATGGGACCAAGCCAGTCATGACATATCTGAAAAGATCTCAAAATATGCTCAGTGGACAGAGCACCTGAACATGACAATGAGTCCAATGAGAGTATGTCATCATCCTCTCACGAGGACTATCAGCGAATACCCAACAATCTCCCAGAAGGACCGTCTTTTCCAGCTGAATGATCCGGGCATGACATCAAGCCATCATCCCTAAGCCTTCATATCTCTGTACGCCGGTAAGCCATGGCCACGGTCTGTTCCGGCAAGTTGATGTTCTTATCAAAGCCAATAAAAAATCGATTTGGAGTCATAAAATGGTTCTATCCCTGTTTTTTTCACAGACTCCTGTTGCTTTCCCAGCCATTCAAAATATTCAAAGGGCCTAATTTTCGTCAGAACCCCACGCGACGGACCCGGCACTGGGTGCAGCTGACTTATCGATGGCCTCACCATCGAAGGTCTTGTAGGTACCGGGTCCCGGCATCTCCTGCCGTGGTGTCGCACCGTCGGATGAGAAGTCATCTATTTCCTGGGTGTAGATCCATTCTATGTGTATATAGCTAGTATAGTATAGTAGAGGTAGTATAAGTATGTATAAGTCATGTATTCCCGCGGGTATGTCCAGGGGATGTGTCAAAATGTAGTAGAATCATGTAGAATATAACTTGGTGAAAATATGGTCGTTACCCAACTTAAAACTATGGGATGCACATCCAAGCCATCAAAAGAAAACGCCGTAGACCATATGTTTGGCGAACTGATTTCCAGCACATGGATGGCACCGTTTTGAAATCCCTATCTTGGGACTCCAAGATGAAGAAAATCCTGACGGGAGGCTTAGCTGATAGAAATGATTCACTGAAGTGATCTCGCAATGTCAACGTCATGTTGATTCTAAGGCACGAGGCTCCATTAGTCGTTGTTTTCTCATGTCTTCACGGTGAAAAAACTAGATACTACTTGGATGACTACTGTGGGAACCTTAATTGAATTTGGAATTCGCCGTGCACCAGTCACACCTTTTTGTTTCACCCCAACAGCGGTCGTGTTGAATCATCTCTAATGATGGTTTTCCCGCAGCAAAAATCTGAGTGGGATGTGTGAAAAACAGATTTTCCATTTAAATATGTTTCTGAACACAAGGAACTATATAACAGTATACCAGTATACACACATCTATAGTATTCTATAGTATAACACTAACAGTATTCCTCCATCTAAAAAAAAACAGTATAAGAAATACTCAACAAAACAGGAACTGCTCGCCAGTCTTCTCAGCCACCAGCTTCTGCTTCGAGCTCGACCGCGCCTTCTTGCTTCTAACATCTACCCACTTCTCCATGACTACCTGCGCAGGACCACGGGCCCCAAAATGAATGGCTATTTTAATGGAGAAAAAACCCAAAGGCAAATGGATGAAAACTGGGTAACCCCCATGACTTAGGAAACCACAAAATATGTTTTTGTTACGTCTTGATCGGATCATGCTACTTGAATTCAGAGATCTTCAAGCCAAAGCATCAGACTGATGGGGGTCAAAGTCCAAGACCCCCTGCCAAATTTGGTCATGTTCCAACATGCCATGATATATAATAATATCATATACTTTCTAAGATCAGAATGTTTCTTTTTTTCTCCATCCTTGAGATAACGCTCGAAGGCTCCAGCACAGTCACTCGCACCATTTGGAGCTCTAGAGTCACTCGCGTGGGAGAAAACTGAAAGTGTTGAGGCCAAGCAAAAAACTTGGCAATTTGGTGCAAAATGATTCACGGCTCATCGGTCAACTCCTCAGCACGGCTCGCATGGTTTCTTCGCTCAATAGCTCGGGATATTCTTCCCAGGTAGTGGTGGCTTCATCCCGCGATGAAGAGATCTGAAGAGATCACCTTTGACCTCTGCCCAGCCCCTCCAATGCGCTCCCTTTTGGATTTTTGGTCAAAAAACGCTCGATCAGAGTTTTGCCAGTTTTGCCAGCGTTATCATTGTACTTGGGCGGAAAAAACAGCTCTTCCTCCATGATGGCCGAAATGATGTGATCTTCCTCCAAGTCATTGCCAAAGGGAAGCTTCCCACACACCATCTCGTAGAACAGGACACCCAAGGACCGGAAATCCGCTTCCAGGCTGTAACCTGTATCACCGAAGATCTCTTCTTCGCCATGTTTTTTTCACCGTGCCCACGACGGGGAAGGTCTTGCTGCCATCTAACATTTTTTTTGCAGCGCCGAAGTCGACGTTTTCTGGCTTGAGGTCTCGATAAACCACACCAGCCACGTGCAGGGCTTCCAGAATGAGCACCGCTCCCCGAAGAGTTCTACATTGGCGTCGAGCCGATGTAGAACTGCGCGTGGAGCGAGCTGACCGGGCCCATCTTGTCCTTCATCTGCTTACAAAGCTGCCCGCCCGTAATCAGCTCTGTGAGAATGTAGATGTTTGTCTTTGTCTCAAAGGATTTGACCATTTGAAGCACAAAGGGATGGCTCACAGTGGAGAGCACTTTGACTTCCTCTTGAACTTCCTCAGGGACCTGGCCATTCTCCTTCTTAATATGCTTCAATGCGTATCTTGCACCTGTCTTCACATGCTCCACCACCCGGATCCGAAAGAGCCCACAGAGTCTTTAAGGATGTCCAGTCCAGAAGCTTGGCCCTTTCCCGATCTGAAGTCCACACAGCTTCCTGGACTGTCCGAACTGTTCTGACTTCGCCAGTGCCCTACCATCCGAAAGCTTTCCAATGTCAGTGGAGAGGTCGTTGAAGTCAGCGGCCCTCCTTCGGAGAGCACAACGTCGCAGGTGCTCACTGGGAGTGCGCGCCAACGCGCGTTCGCCCCATATGTCGAATGTCGAATTAGAGAAACTGTAAGATCAGAATGTTTCATGGTAAACCCTCATGTTTGGGCGACTGCTAGGACTTGTTGTCTGTTATATGCAAAGCTTAAAAACACTATAAAAGGACATTGCTCTTGTTGCAAAGCTAGCTGATTTGCGATGATGGTCAAGGGCAACCTGGATGCTGGCATGCCCTGAGCCAAAAATATCTGGAGAAAAACCTCTACATTGAAATCAATAAAATAATAAACACACTACCCAGGATCGTTGACAGTTGTCTGTGTCTACCGCAAAAAAAATGAAAAGAACAAAAACACGATTTTTTCTAGGAGTTGCATGCAATCTATGGTTTTCTTGTTCCGGTCCAACATGATCTTCAACCATGAATTCAGCTCACCGACTCGTCCAAAAAAAACGACCCTCGCCTTGTCCAAAAAGTTGGAGGCCTTCTCCTTGGGTACCGAATACACGGCCTGTTTGTCAGTCACCTGGCGATGGGGAGATCCGATCCTGAGCTGGCTGGGGCTGTGGGTGCCCAAATTGAAACGTTGGAAGATGACGATGAAACCGGCGGATTTTAAATAGTTGGCACCTCATGGTCCGGCAAAATCTCGTGATTCTCATGGCTTTGCTATGGGCATAATTTTCGGGGATTCCAATTAGAGTCCAGAAATAGGGGATAATGATGATAAAACCGACGCAAATGGGGGTTCAGCCCAAAATAATGATGCATTAGGATATAATGTGGATAAAACAATGATTAATAAATCATCCCCCCAAATCACCATAAATAATAGGTGGTATAAACCATTCTGAAACGGATGGTTGATGATTGCTTTAACTTTTAACCAGATTAATTGAATATATCACCAACAATGTATAACAACATAATCTGTGGGTCCAACATTTTGGGATTTGCCGATACTGGTTGGCAATTTTAACAGAACCAAAAAGATTGTCATGGGATTTTGGGGGTACCCAACGTTTTGAGACAAACCACACCAGCAGCCGCTGAAAAACTCTCCTAGATTGATGATGGTAAATGTTTACAACCAAGAAATTGCTAGAACTAGATTAACTAGATAGATTCATCATATTCATAACATTTCATAACCCCAATCAACTAGCATCGACTGGGGCGAGTCGAAAAAGCTGACTTCAGCTGCCGGCAGGCGCCTGGTTGTAGTTGATGCTGTAGTGGTTTGGTGCCTCGGCGACATTCAGGACTGGACATTTTGGGCATGTCAGCATGTCGATCCTCGACAGGTGTTCAATCAAAAGAAAGGACCGCGAAGTTCAAAATGTATATTAAGTAACCATCGAAAAATATCGTATAAAGATGCAGTTTATCACTATTTTAGTATTTGAGCCTTCTATCTTCGGGGGTGCATATAGACATATATGTATATATGGGTCTGGATTAAAGCTTGAATGGCATGTTTGGCATTCTTCACCCATTGCACAGAAGAGGGGACCGAAACTCTCCGAAACCTCCAGGTGGTTTTGTGAGTACCCAAACATTTAAAATGTCTAGGTATCTATCATATACATATAGATATATATATATATACATATATATATATATACATATCAATGTAGACCATAGATAGATAGATAGATAGATAGATAGATAGATATACATATGTATATATTTATTTATGTGTTTTTTATTTCTTTATTTAGATATTTATATATATAATATTATAGACATATATATATATCATCATTCTCCAAGCTTCCCCCTTTCTTTTCTGGCAAGGGCTAGCCACCTCTCCCCTGGGATCTCCAAACTAAGGAGGTGTCACCTCCAGTGCCTCCACCAGAGCTGTTGTTGCTCTCTGAGACTTTCCAATTCATGGCGCCCACGGGGTTGTTATCCAGTTCTGGGCGCGGCATGGAGGCTGGAGTGTTAGGGATTCACACCGAAAAAACATGACTGGTTGCTGGTACACCTACCCCTCTGAAAAATATGAGTTCGTCAGTTGGGATGATGAAATTCCCATATATTATGGAAAGATATGGAAAGTCATAAATTCCATGGTTCCAGTCACCACCAACCAGATGAATTTCTTCTGGTGCTGGGGCTAAGATCTTTCAGAAAATTGGGAGCTGCTAGGATCTGCTAGGCACTGAGGAAATGATGATGTTGACTCCAATGTTGCCCCTGAAATGATGCCAAGAACTGGTGAGGAACCATGCTGAAAAACCTTATGAGTGACCAATGGCTGTGACCAATGGCTGTGACCAATGGCTGTGACCAATGGCTAATCTTGGAATATGGTATGATCTTTAACAGGCTGTGTACTCTATTTCTCACTCATCAAAACCAACACGTGACCAAATGTTTGACGGGAGGTCCCTGAAGGTAAGATCGGCTTCTGACATGAATCTCAAAGCGTCAGAAAAGGTCGGTATGGGTCCAAACCCCCAAACGGCGTGTGAACTCCCGTAGCCAATCAAGCCTCTTCCAAGGCTGGTGAAATGATGATGAAATCCCTGCGGATGCGTGTTATGAAAAATGATGGCTTCTTTAGCCATGATGGATGCTACCTTTATAAAGCCATGATGGATGCCTCTGACAATCAAACGTGGCTGGCTGGAAAATCACCCAGCAGGAGGTCCTTTTTTGGGAAAAACATCCCTCTTAATGGTGGATTTTCCGTTGCCAGGTTTGATTACCAGAGGGTGTACAATGGTGTACACATATCTGTAGCCAAGTTAATGGTCTGAAGGGTCCCAGGCTTCACTTGCTGTCCCAAAATCAGACCTGTGGTCTAGAAACGATCATCATTTAGCAGTTCCAAAGATGTCTAAAGTTTGTTCACACTTCCAAAAATATCCAACCCTATAGTTACTATAGTTATTCATCAACCAGTAAAGGAATGGAAGAAACAACGAAATCAAAACCACAGAGGGTCCACCATCAAACGCGTCGAGGGGCTGTTGTTCGCCTTCTGCTTCACATTGTAATGCCCTGGGGCTGGGACCTCGATAGTCGCGGGACTGAAGCCATTTTTGGGGGGGAGAAAAACAACGAAACATGGGAGAGATTGAAGCTACAAATAATACAAAGGAGATTTGCGAACGTAAATTCACAATCCTAAGATGTTACCCGAAAACCAACAGAGGTTTCTACCGTTGGGAGAGTATCCATTTACAAAAAAAACGGTGATCAATATCCCACAATCCAGTATGTGACCCAATCTGGCAAAGGATCAAAAATCTGGGCCCTAAAGCCAGATATTTGGAGGCACCTACCCTCCGGCAAGGACTAACGTAGCTGTGGAAAATCACCATTCTCGGATCTTGCTTGGCGCATACCACTGGGAACCCATGGGATATACCCCAATCATAGAATCAATGGATTGGTAAAAAAGGAAAAAATTACACAGGAAAGCCCCATGATCTTCATGGGAAAATCTATGTGTTCCCCATATTTAATGGGAAAGTCTATGGTTTCCTGTAGATTTTCCCAACGAAACCAATCCATTGATATAAAACTTATCAACCACCAACGATGCATCTGGTGGGTATCAACGCTTGGAGATGGGTACCCACGAAATCAACACAACAAAAACGGAGGATGTGAATATCATTCCTAAGAAAAAGCCTACAATCATATTTGTCATCAATAAAGAGAAGTAGAAACTGTCAAACCTAATTTTTATAATATGTTTATTACGTCCCGACTATGGTTAGCTATCAATCTCCAGCCTTTTTTCCCAGAAGAATCCCTTTGTATCATGGGAAAACCACCATTTTTCTTGGATTCTGCGGCGCCTTTTTCGTGGACCTCATGACTTTGACATCTCCGGTCCTGGGAACTTCTGACAGATTTGCCATGCCGCACGGCACCGTCCAAGAATGAGCGACGGTTTCCTGGCCGTTTTCAGTGGAAACCTAAAAGGCTGTGGCGGAAAATGGCGATCCTTGCAACAACAATGGGATGTATGGCCAACCATGTTGGGGATATACTGGGAATATAGTGGGAACGAGTCACCAACAATATTATTTGGGTGTGTCCCTTGGCTCCAAATGGCTTTCTAATATCAAGAAAATCATGATCATCCATCGGGTTTTGCGGAATGTCCCACAACTTTCACACAAACCCAAACGGCTATGGCAATTGTTCATATCATACCATTTGGGTCTGTCTTTGGTGCTAATCAAAAGAACTCAAAATGAATAGGGCATAATCGGGCAAAATTGAGGACCAACAAAAGTGACTAGGAGCAAGCCCTATCATTCTGGCTCGTCCTTTACTGGCCCGTTGCGCCTTTGGTCATATTGCCATAAAGTTGTCGTCGATTCTGAGAGAGACACTCCTGCGGGGCTTAGATGCTGCAGATTTTCTGTGAAAATGGTGATCCATAACTCTTGATAGAGCCAGAAATGAAGCATATACCGCATATACCTGGTTTACCATCTAGGAAATCTTGAAACCAATCATTATCCGTGGGTCAAAAGATAGTAGTTGCTGGCAATCCCACCATTTTTATGGGATACTCCTCAGATGACCATCCCGGAACTTAGAAAAAAAGACCATGTAATATGGCAAACCCAATAGTACACTTACGATTTGGGCTTTGTTTATTTACTCAAACCATACTATAGTCACATTGGTTTTAGTAATTTTGTATAACCAATTTGAACTGGTATACCACATTAAATTGCTGATTTTAATTGGTTTTGCCACATTATCCAATGACCGTGGCAGCCCATGGCGCGTCCTTACTCTTGTTGCTGGGATACTGGAAGAAATCCTCCGCTGGCCGAATGATGCGATTGAAAGATCTTGGGGAAATCCAGAGAAATCGCGAAGAACAGAAAGTGTCCGAAAGATGTGTCCAATGTGTCTTGGAAAAAAAAAGGTTCAAAGCGGAGTTTCTCAAAGCCAAAAGGCAGCATATTTTCCAGCTGTTTTGGAAGGAGCCACAAAGGACATTCACCTGGAACTGTCCCAAAGTCTCATTCTGGGGTACAGTTTTTTGAGCAATGTCGGCCTTGTCAGTCTTTATTTCAAAGGCAAATCTTTCGATCGAACCCGGTTCGAACACAGATGTTTTGCCGCCATTTGGGGTGCAGGGTATATAACAATAATTATAGGGGTTATATCCCAACAAACATGGTTTCTTTTCAATCCCATAGTCATATCATGTCATATCCATGAATAGCCTCAACTGCGCCACAAAACGCACTCAGCTATGTATGAGTCACTGATATAGATCTCAGCTCCTTTCTATCTCTACATCCCTACAGATCCAGGAACATCTCCTGTGTTTTTCCTGGAGTCCCAACTTTCAGCAACAAAGGTACAACACTACTGGAAAAGTATTAAGCTAACTTAATTTCCACTATTTTTTATAGGCTTTTCTATTTACTGTATCTATTTACCATTCGATCCCTTTCTTTGCCTCTGCTCTTCTCCAAGGGATCATCCCAGCCCTAGAAACCCCCGCCTTTCGCTCGTAGTGGGTGGGATCTGGGTTCTTATGCATGGGTTTGAAGGAGCGATCCTGGCAGCGTGCAAAAAAAAAAACGCTGCCAAGGTCGAGCCAAGCTCGAATATGACAGTTCACTGGGATCATTGGCTCATATTTTCAGGACCTACTGTACCTACTGGTTTTTTTTTGTATAAATAGAGGGTTGTTGCGAACACACCAGATACATTTGGGGGCAAAAAGGCTAGAGACTACCAATCATCCAAAAAAAAGTTGCTGAGATGTACCTGGAATGGGTTGGAGCAACCCTGAAATAGACACAAATCGTTACGATGGTGATGGTGATGATGATGCTGATGGTGATGATGATGATGATGATGATGATGACGATGATGATGATGATGATGAGATAAAACTCAGTTACAGTAGATTGCTGGCTTATTGTCCCCACATCTGGCCCAAGATTGGGACGCCAAAATCTGGCCCAAAATTGTCAAGGGTTGACACTAGCGGTGGCCAAATACCCCTGGACATGATATATGGACATGGGCTCCTCAAGGGAAAATAGTTCTTTTCATCCAGGACAGAATTATTTAGCATTCCAAGTGAACTCATCTAGTCACTATCAATGGTCGTCATTCTCCACAACACATAAAGATTGTTCAAAATGACAATGTCTTGGAACCCGCCATAGCATCTCCAGCGCTTCTCCCGGGCGCACCCCTTTGAGGAACTTGCTCCCACCATTCAGCCTCCAATCCTGATGCTCATGTGGCACCAGCCACAAAAAACATGGCTTTGGCACCTCAATGATACCCTCTGGTAAACTAACATAACTATGGAAAATCACCATTTTTTATGGGTAAATCCACTATTTCTATGGCCAGTTTCAATAGCTCTTTGTATGTTTACCAGAGGGTAAAGAAAATCAGAGATGTTACTTCAACCTATGGCCACGTTATTTGGGAGAGGATAAACCCTAGGGGTTTTGGGGGTACCCAAGATTGACCACCATAAAAAACCAGTTGTCACTGGGATCAAAGCTTCCGCAACTCGCCAGGTTTTTTGATAGACATCCCCAAGGATCAACCATTAAAACATCCCTTAACTTGGGTACAGTATATCTGGTTGGTGGTTTCAACCCCTCTGAAAAATATGAAAGTCAGTTGGGATTATTATTCCCAATATATGGAAAAATTAAAAAAATGTTAGAAACATTTAGAAACCACCAACCAGATATTCATATTCATTAACCAGAAATGGAGGAGGGCTACTGTTATTGCAGAGCCTAAACAGAAACAACAGATCAAAAGAAAAACAAGATACTGTTCACTGCGTAAGAGCTCAAGCCATGCAACTGTCCCTTGGTGAGCGAATGTCCCAACTGCGGATACTTTCAACATCATCCTGCTCCAAAGAAATATTTTCACACAGCCCGTGTCCCAACCATCGGCACAGCACCAGGCTATGGGGGAGGGCACCAACATCCCAAAGAACAGGGTCCCAACCATCTCAGTTCATCCCATTCCAACGCCCCCATTGGGGATGGTTCCTGGGAACTTATCCGATCAATTTCCCAGTCCGTCCCTTCCAAATATGCTTCAAAAAAACCCAAGAAAGGGTCCTCCAAAATGATGAGATCCTACTACCTAACGCAAGGGAACTCGTTCGGGTGAAGGTAAAATTCACATTCGGGGTTATTGCTCCCATTTAGTTGGATGTTTGTATTTCAATACCCTATCAATGGAGATCTTTTTGGGAAGAATCATCTACAAATCATGAATATTTCTAGAAATCCATATCTACAGTATCTACAAATCATCCATTTCTAGAAATCCATATTTTCTACAGATGTCCCATATTTCCCCGTTTGATGTTCTACGAATCATCCAAACTTCCAGGATTTCTCAGCCCAGTCGGCGGCCTCATGCGCCAAGTATTTTCCAGGTCCGGGCGTCTTGGTGGCCTTGCGGCTGAAAATAGCACCATTTGTAGATCCCATGCCCTGTTGTGCTGCTGACTATTCCTACAATGTGGGGCCCCCTAGATAGCTAAGTTGGTTTATGACTCCAATAGCTATGGTTTATTGTACTTATAACTATGGTTAATGGGGTTTATAAACCAACTTATAACTGGGGGGCCCCACATTGTAAGTGGTTTATAGGTGGGCTATGATTAACTATGAATTATGATGGCTAACTACCGTAACTATGATTGTGGTTTATCAGTGGGCTAACTATGGTTCACTATGATGAACTTGGTATGATCTATGATTAAGCATGAATGATGAACTCAACTTAAGTATGACTCCATCCCCCGTTCCTTTGTAAACACCCCCAGAAACAGCCCCAGAAACCACGGTCCCAAGAACGTCCCAAAGATCTGGAACCAATCCCCTACTAAACCCATGGTTTCTGGCTGTTGATTGTTGATGCTACCCTCCGGTGATTGGATGGTGAATTTACCTGGAACTTTGCTATCCGTCCCAAGAAAAGATTGAAAAGCAACATCCCAGAATATGAATATATATATATTATATATATATATATATTATATATATATATTGATTTATTGTATAGTGGTAGACTGATGTAAAATTATGTGACTCTCATTTTGGGGTTGCTATACTTTCATGGTGATCTTTCCGCTGTCAAGACTTGGAGAGTGAAAGGAGTACCCGAGAAACCTCAAAAAGATGCAGAAAAATCACATCCCACAAATATATATATATATACTGTGTATATATATATACACCCTCTGGTAAACTAACATAACTATGGAAAATCACCATTTTCAATGGGTAAATCCACTATTTCTATGACAATTTTCAATAGCTCTTTGTTTGTTTACCAGAGGGTAATGTAATAAGTTCAAGCGGTTCAATCGTTGGCCTTGGGAACCCTCCCATAATCAAAGATGGCAATGGAAAATCCACCATGTATGGATGTTTTTCCCCAACCACCATTTATTCATGGAACTGGATGATGGAAAATTCTACAGGAAACCCCTATATTTGATGGTAAGAACCATGGTTTCCGGTTAAGATTTTCCCTTAAACCAATCCATTGATTTATGGATGTTTTTCCCATGATTCACCTATCAATGAAGGTCTGAAAATGAGAGAATCATGGACAAATTACCGTAGGGCTATCCAGTGCTCCACTGGTCCTGTCCAAGTCGTGGCGGTTCCCAAAAATGTGCGATGGCACTCCATTCTTCAACTGCAAAGACATACAATTTGCATGGTTTGAATGGGATTTAATGGGAAATTAATGGGAAATTAATGGGAATTTAATGGGAATTTAATGGGAATTTAATGGGAATTTAATGGGAAATTAATGGGAAATTAATGAGAATTTAATCGGAATTTAATGGGGATTTAATAGGAAATTAATGGGAATTTAATGGGAATTTAATGGGAAATTAATGGGAAATTAATGGGAAATTAATGGGAAATTAATGGGAAATTAATGGGAATTTAATGGGAATTTAATGGGATTTCATGGTTGGGTACATCAAGCAGCTGGATTTTAGGCAACCACCAAGGTGACCAAGTGCGCTAGAGGAAGGTCAATCTCCTGTCGAAGCAAACCCCCTTTTTTGGGTTCCTACCCTCTGGTAAACATACAAAAAACTAAAATCACCATTTTTCATGGGTAAATCAATTATTTCTATGGCTATGTTCAATAGCTATGTTTGTTTACCAGAGGGTAAGTCATGGGGGTACCCCTTTGTCGCTGGATGGTTGATTTCATGGAAAATCTGACAATAAAGTGGATGATAACTGCAGGATGGTGCCCCCAGTTATAAGTTGGTTTATAAACCCCATTAACTATAGTTATATCTGCCATAAACCATAGTTATGGGAGTTATTTGCACCAACTGAACGCTAACGAACTGGGGCACCACCTTGTGGGATACCCCTATCTTCTTGAATTCCTCTTTTGGTCGGTTGCCCTTGCCAAGAGACTGCTCTCATGATCTGGTTGATGCGGCTGGAGTAGCCCCCTGTGTCCTGCAAGAAGGCAAGATACATACAGAAGGGTCACCACACATCAAGAGATCACAGGAAAAAATCGAAAAAGCCAAACAACATGTGGATGATCCAGCCTAAAGAATATGGCGTAAAGGGTATAAATGTTCCTCTCCATCTTTGGCTTGCTTGCAACCACTTTTTGTTGTAATCAGGGGAGATCATCTGTGTTGCCAATATTATGATCTACTGACAGTCTTTCCTATCTTGCCCAATAATGTCCTTTTGGTAAAGATAGAGGGGCCGGTTTGGTATACCATCTATCATCATTTACCTGTTGTTAAAGGGGGTTCTTCAAACCCCTCTATTAATCAACCAATCAATGGGAAAAGGACATCTATGATATTGCCTGTATCACTGGTACCCGGTATCCCCACATCATTCCCTATCTTCGATACCAAGCAGGTAATCCGATACCCAGCTGCGAATGATTATCCTACATGATTTGCAACGCCACCACGACCACCCTTGACCAATTCCTGAAAGCGAACATGGAACCCCACAAAATGAAAAAGATGATATTCTTCCTGTTGGAACTACAATGTTTGGGGTTCCATTTTGGAGTTCAGCTGGTAGGGAAATGCCGAATTCAAGACGTCCATTGCTACCCGATGGTCGCGAAATACCCATATCTCAGTTGTTCACATTGTCAAATCTGAAAATAAGGTACACCCAAATTTGATGGTCAAACAATGCTAATCAGTGTATTTTGCATTGAAATAAATGAAAATGGACGGGTGTACCCAACATTTTCAGTCACGCCCAAAACCATAATTTGGTTCTTGTTTTTCCCATTATATCCGCACAAAATAAATGGTTGGCTAGAAATCAATCCCCATACCTTGGTTGCTTCCCATTAAATCCCAATTTTAAGTTGACGCTTGAACACTCATTATAGAGATGATATGTTTTCCCCTAAAATCCCATTAAATGACCATGTTTCATGAAATTCCCATTAAATGACCTATTTTTTCCATAAAATCACCATGAAAGGTGGCTTTGACTCCCCCATGTTCTGCGGTGCTTCCACCATTTCCACTGCCGTCGCCTTCGAGAAGGCGCCATGCGTGACCCGCTTCGTTGGGCCTGTGTCACCTTCGTCACGCGGTTTAACCGCTTGGCATATTTGAGGATTACCAGTATATCAATATGATGACTATTAATGAAAGCAATAGATTATGTGGGTATATGATGACTTCAAATCTATATTAATAGTTGAATTACCTGATTGTATGGCAAATATGGAATTCGGCTATTAATTTGATGAACTATTCTTAATTTGATATTCAAAATCTGAGTAGTATTCACTTAATATATATATATATAGTTATATACATATATATTTACCTGAGATACATGCGCCGAATATCAAAGCAATCGCTGTGCCATTGAGGATTTGACCAGCAAAGAATTGGTGAATCCCCATGGAGAATGGTGGAAAACTATGGGAAAAACGTGGAAAATAGGGATGATAGCCACACCGGAAATCTGGCTGATTGGAGATAATCAAAGAATCAAACATCGCTGGAATCTGGGATAATCAATCAATAAAATGGGACTATTCAAATTTAAGATACCCTCCGATAATCAAACAATCAAACATGGCTGGCTGGACAATCCCCAAACTCAATGGAGGCTGATAGGTCAATAAAACATCTATGAATGGAGGGATGTTCAATGCCATGTTTGAGTACCAGAGGGTACTATTTTGATAATCATCAATACCCAGCAGTACCCACTAGTAGCCATCGATAACCATTGATTGATAACCATTGATAACCATGGATAACCATTTACCCATGGATAACCATTGATAATCATTGATAATCATTGATAACCATAATAGAAAAGGAAAATTAGAAACGTGGAACCTATGGGGAAAACATCATCAAACTGCTGTCCTGGAAATACTTTCGGATCTTTTGGGAATCTTTTTGGGGTTACTAGTTATGTTAGGGGATATGACCCGGACTAACTATGGGGATACAACCAGCAGTGACCAGAAAACTGTTCTATGTTTTTTTCGCTTGATATGAATGGTAGATTTCACCAACAAATCAATTTCAGTTGCTTAAAATCCATAGTTTGCTCGATCAAGTTCAATCCCTATCTTTTTATCAGCTGCTCAAATTCTACATTTAATTTGCTCAATCCCCATCTTTCTTTATCGGCAAAAGCACCAACGACCTGGCATTTCCAGAAAACAACCTGAGGTGCCAGACCAGCACCATGACAGGGAACCTGGTAGTCCTGGCGGTGATTTCTAAACCTACCATTTGGGATGGCTTACACAAGCCATAAAAATGGTGAGTTTGGGATTATGGCAGTGGGTTTACCACGTTGGATTCTCAGCTTATGGATTATGATCATCTATGATAAAAAAAAAAAAAAACTGATTGAACTTGTGGGTGGTATAACCTCCTATAATCATCACTTTAAAATCCAATCAGTTTAGGGACCAAAGACCTTGTCCCTAACCTTTCTACTACCAGAACGCCAAGTTCCTTGCATACTGTCAGTGGGAGCCATGGTTGCCAAGTGGCCAAATGGATGTGTCGAAATTTAAGAAAACCATACAAATGTGAGACACAAAATCAAAGATATGTAATCCAAACCATATCTAGAAATACCAAACAACTGAGAGACTAAAAACACCTACATGGTGAGGCCCCCCAGTTACAACGTTGGTTCCCCCATTAAAACCCATCTGTTCACCAAGTCTTAAGTCAACTTAGCCATCTGCCTCAGCACAAATGCGTCTCATAGTGACCTAGATATTCTCTGGACTATGTATATATATATATAATATGTATCTGGTTGGTGGTATACCTACCCCTCCGAAAAATATGAGTTCGTCAGTTGGAGTTACTATTCCCAACATATGGAAAGAAGTAAAATTCCATGGTTCCAAACCACCAACCAGCTAAATAATACCCTCTGGTAATTTAACATAGCTATGGAAAATCACCATTTTAAGTTCGGTAAATCAACTACTTCTATGGACCATGTTCAATAGCAAACTATTAAATTACAAGAGGGTACAGTAAATTTCATTCATATTCCATTGAATCACTATAAAATCCCATTAACCATCATTTACCAGTTATATCACTATAAAGCATCCCATTTTTCGCAATGACTTTCCTCATCCGGTGTTTCCCCGGCCGCCTCTTGGGTCAGCACAGGTGCTGAGGAGGACATGGCCGTGCTCCTTCATATTGGATGAATAGGTGCATTTAAGGCATAAATATATATATATATATATGTACCCTCTGGTAAACTAACATAGCTATTGGAAATGGCCATTTATAGTTGATTTACCCATTAAAAATTGTGATTTTCCATAGTTATGTTAGTTTACCAGAGGGTATGTATATAAATTTCTGTATATACCTATCTGTATTAATGTATATCTGGATGGGTGGATGGATGGATCGAGATAGATATAGATTAATAGATGGAGATATAGATAGATTCGAATTGTCGACGACTATACGGTTCGTATAATAAGGTTGTCAAGGGCTCATATGTGCCATGGTCAAAACATGGTACATTGTTTTATACCTGGCGGGCTGAAGATTTACCCTTCCGGCTGATGGTTGACCCACCGAAAATGGTACGTGTCCATTGCCATCTTCAACCACCATAGTGTCTAACTCTTTCCTGGGTGACCCCGTGGAAGTCTTGTACCGCACATTTCCGCACCCGACCAGCCCAAGTTGCCACGTCTCCTGCCCCGCACAACCGCAAAACCGCCCCGAACTGCGACGTCCGTCAGATGCCTACTACTTGAGCCACTGGTGAGCGCTACCATCCCCGATATGGGACACCACATCCAGGTAGACAAAGTCTCAATAGCATCTTTTTCCCCCAAATTGTGACCCCGCAGAGTGCAAATGATGGAAATGCCAAATGTTGGATGTAAAAATCTGGGTCATTTACCAGCCACAAATTTTGGGGACAAAGATCATGGCTCAAGTCACGAAAAATTTTCAATGGTAATTTTTTGATCATTTTCCAGGGGAAATTCCCCAAAAATCACCTGAGCCATTAAAAAATACCCAACCTGGTTATGTCAAAATAGCTATCATGGCCATAGAAATCATGGATTTACCCATTGAAAATTGTGGATCTTTCCATAGTTATGTGGCTGTTTACCAGAGGGTACCCATATCCCATCTCATGAAATACTAGTTGGCTGAAAAGGCTTTCCCTACTATGGGTGATCATAATCCCCAGTAAATTGGCTAGTCTGGTGGTCCCTGGTTACCCATCAGCCATCATCAAGTTCTATCATGTGATTTGTTTCTCCATGTTTGATGGACTTAAAGCCCATATAGATATTATAGATATATCCTTGTAAAACATAACCAATCATCAAGTTATATCATATTCATTCATATTCTATCTCTATGTTTGATGCTTAAAGCCCTACCATAAATCCTACCCTCTGGTAATTTAACATAGCTATTGAAAATGGACCATAGAAGTAGTTGATTTACCGAACTTAAAGACGGTGATTGTCCAGTTCTCAAACTGTTAGTTTACCAGAGGGTATATCTCCATTAAATTCTCATTCAAGTCTATTAAATCACCACTAAATCCCATGAAATATCGCCATTAAATCATGCTAGTTAGCCATTTTTCCAAAAAATATGAATATGATTTGGTGATGCTCATCACCAAATCATGGTAGTTACCATATACCCTCTGGTTATGTCAAAATAGCTATGGAAAATCACCATAGAAATAGTGAGTTTTCCAATTAAAAATGGTGATTTCCAATAGCTATGTTCATACCCAATCATGGTTGATAGGTTTTCCTACTATGGGTGATCATAATCCCCAGTAAATTGGCTAGTCTGGTAGTCCCTAGTTACCCAGCAAAGCACCTCCGAGTCGCCGATCTGGTCCATGCGCGCGGCACCGGCCAGGTCCACGGTCTGAAGCTGCGCCCACCTGCGCGCTTGCGGGGCGCAGCTAAGGGCCGAAGAAAATCATCCACGGAAATCCATGGAAAATGATGGGAAATGATGGGAAAATGATGGGAAAATCCATGGAAACAATGGAAATGATGGGAAAATCAAAGGCCCTACCCTCTGGTTATGTCAACATAGCTATTGAAAATGGCCATAGAAATAGTGGATTTTCCCATTAATAGCATGGTGATTTTCCATAGTTATGTGGCTGTTTACCAGAGGGTAGAAAATCTGGGAAAATCCCATGGAAATGATGGGAACATCTGCAATTTTTCATCAGATATGATCCCATAAGACGGTTCACCCTCATGGTGTGGCCCCCAAGTTACGTTCGTTGGTTGAGGTTCACCCCATGAATACTCGTTCGCTATATCCCAAAACACAACGAGTGATCCAAGTTACGTTCGTCAACTTAGCAGGGGACCTTACCTGCAGAATATATGTGGTTGCCTCAATTTGCAATACATACCCCCCAAAAAAAACGTTGCCATTTTGATGGGGAGAGTAATTTGCCAAACCATGGATTTGGGGTATCCTAATCTTGGACAAACCTGCGAGTAAGTTGCATCCGCACGAATGGGGAGGTGGAGATACATGGGAAGGGCTCAAAAAGAGGTATCAATAGAGCCAGAAAACTGGTCGATGTTTCGTATGTTTTAGTAATTACCCTCCAGTAAATTCACATAGACCCTGGTACTTGTTGGGGTATTTTCCAGACTAGTTTCCAATAAAACATTGGTGATTTTCAGGGTCAACATGTTAATTTACCAGAGGGTAACTCATTCCCAAAACGGGGGATCATCCCGCAAATCCTGGGCGGTTAGCAACAAAAAACGAGGACAAGGCCAGAGGAAAAAAAACGACAAAAAAACAATGGGATTATCAACTATTAATAGAATCTTGAGTAACTATTAGTTAACTATATTTCAACTATCATCAACTACAGAACAAGTATCGTTAACTCCAAATTCAACTATCATCAAACTATCATTAACTATATATCAAGTAACTATCATCATGTTTCCAACAAGTAAGTGACTTATATATAAAGAATAAACAAACAATAACATCACGAGAGCTTCCCGGACCATCCCGAGGTCGAGCCTGCGCTTGGCGTCCTCCCGACCTATGAGCTGTTCGATTTGCAGGGTGGCCATCGCATGGGAACCTCGGCGCCGAAGGATCCAACGCTGCAAACAAGAAATGGCCATGCAAATGTGGGGAAATTGGACCATCAAAGTGGACGAAGCCGAAAGTGTGAACGATCCATTGGTGGATTGGGCATGATTGGGCCATCTTTAAATCGGGATTTCGTCTTGAAAAATGGAGGATCCAAGCAAAAGATGTTTCGCAGCGGTAGGACAAGGATGGACAAGGTATTTTTGAATAAAGGGGATGGTACAGGATGGGGCCCCCAGTCAATAGCGTTCAGTTGCCTAAAAGAAGTGGCTAAATTCTATGGTTTTGGTAGATGTAACTATACTTAATGGATGTTTTCATGGGGTTTATAAACCCACAAACATCACTGGGGGGACCATCCTGTACCATGAATGACCAGCGTTTTTCATCCTAGAGGCGACTGGAGGCGGCGTTGATGTTCGTACAGCCCACGGCACGCATCTTGTGACCTGCGGTGGATGAAATGGATCATCATAAACTGATCACTATGAACTTACCATGACATAGGCCGTTCTTCTGGGAGTTTGATCGAAAAAAAATATGTTTTTTGGTTTGTCTGAAAATCGGCTATCCCAGAAGTTGATCATTCAATATATTCAATGTCACTCATGACGATTTTGCCTGCCAAAATTGACAGAAATGAACAGACACACCATTTTCAGACACACCCGTACTGGCAATCCCTCATCAGGTAGTATAATCTCCTGCAATAACCAATGAACGGATGGGGTTTTGGTCACTGCTCATTCCAGTTGATATGGCTGGGGGCTGGGTCTATACTGTCAACCCTGGATGAATGTGAACCCTTAATTACCGGCTACAAGAGCTGCGTGTATATATATATATATACATATACACATAGTGGAATATAATGATGGAATATACATACATTACATCACATCACACTACAGTACATTGCATTACATTACATCACTTTACATTACTTTACATTACATACATTACATATTATATATACACCTAGGGAAAATCATGAATATTCAAATCCGGGGACACACCAAATTTTAAGTCACAGTTAATACAGTTGAGCAGTGGTCGAGAACGAGATTTCCCTGGATTCTGATATTCCCTGAGTCCCTGAGTCCCGAATCAATCAACCGAGGTTTTTTTTTTGGGCACCATTGATGGATCCTCACATTTCTATAACTGGTTATATGGGACAAATATTAGGGATGAAGCATCCATGAAGCATCCATGATACCATTTGCAGCATATGCAAACAATGAGGCCCATATGGCCCATGAACCCATCCCCATCCCAGAGGTGCCCCAATCAGTTATCAACTGCCTATTGTAACACCACCAGGACGTCACTTTTTCAGTGAACGAAACCAACTTCACAAGCCCAAATCCAGGGAAATCATCAGCGCAAAATCATCATTTCTCTTACCCTCTGGTAAACATTCACAGTTTGCTATTGAAAATGGCCCAGTCGAAAGTTCGTGGATTTACCCATTAATAATGGTGATTTGCCATCGTTTTTTGTACGTTTACCAGGTAATTCTTAGCGATTTTCCCACTCCTCTGACTCCCTGGACTCCCGGGATTCCCTGACCGAAATCCATCAAGCGCAAGACATCCTGCACGCTGCTCACCACGTTCCACGAGAGATCTCAGAGAAAAGCGTGGAAGCCGTGGCGATTTCCAATTGTTTTTTTGCGCAGAAATGGTGGATGTTTTTTAAGCAGCAATAAATCGAGGGCAAAACCAACCATTCGGTTTGCTCCCATTCCAGGTCTAAAGTTTGCTCCCAACTCCAGGTGTAAGGCTAAATTGAGTAAATATGGAAGTTTACCATGACCAACTCTTCGGCGAATTTTTGTGGCTCTCTTCGGTACCTAGAAAAGGAGCACCCCTGGGATGTAATGAGATGTATGATCAAAATGATGTGGGTGTGTCCGGAAATGCGAGGGTAAATGGGGAAAAAAACAACAAACAAACTGGGGTTCGACCAAAACAATAATACAATCAATGGGAATTTCAGGATCCTAAATTGGAGGTACCTACCATATATAAGGCCTATTTTTCAGGGCGACAAAAAAAGGACCCAACAGGATACGATGTGATATACCCGACAGGGTTCTGTGGGATTGTCTAGGATTTTGGGGTACCCAAGTTGCAGGCATACCCACATATGTGTATGGGTCCAAACGAATGTGTTTGTTATGGATGTGCATACAAAAACAATGGCAATCAAGTTTTGACCCCAGATAGATAGATTGATTGATAGATTGATAGATTGATAGATACCCAGCAAAAAAAATATTGAGCTGGCTTAAAATATTATATTTAATTGTTATTACTATCATCATCATTCTTATTATTATTATCATTATTATTATTATACCCGCAAAACCGCTGTCTCGCCGTCGCCAAAATTATCATTTGTCACGTTCGAATTTTGCTCCGCGTGCAGGCGAAACGCGTTTTTTCTTTTTTTAAGTCCAGAAAAATGCATTTTGATCTGCGGCCACCAATGAATTTGAGCACGTCCATTTTGCGTGGCAGGCGCGGTGTTTTCTGATCTTACAAAAAAGTCGTGTTGCATTTTCGCTGGCAGGCGCGCGACTTTTTGCGTTTTTGGCACGTTCTGGATTGTTTTTTTTTTTTTGAGCTGTTTGTGGCGCTGCTTCCTTTCTTTGGGGGGGGGGTTCGGGGGGGGGGGGGGGGGGGGGCATGATAACGTCCTTTCGTTCCCGTCCTCTCTTCGGTTTATGTCAACACGTCAGTGATGTTACGCGCTTGGCTTTCTTGGGTTTATGTTAACACGTCAGTGATGTTACGCTCTTGACTTTCTTCGTTGTGATGTTAACACGTCCAGTGATGTTACGCTCTTGACTTTCTTCGTTGTTATGTTAACACGTCATTGATGTGACGCTCTTGACTTTCTTCGTTGTTATGTTAACACGTCAGTGATGTGACGCTCTTGACTTTTTTCGTTGTTATGTTAACACGTCAGTGATGTTACGCTCTTGATTTTCTGCGGTTTATGTTAACACGTCAGTGATGTTACGCTCTTGACTTTCTTCGTTGTGATGTTAACACGTCAGTGATCAGAAAGCTGAAAACAGACTTGGTTGCATCAAGCAAACACTGCGGCGACACAACGCTCTTGGGAGAAACACTTCGAAAAAAAAACCTGAAAAATATTCAGGTGCTTGCCGCCGCAAGCTTGCATCGGCAGCCAGGACTGAAAGCAATCCTGAACGCAATGACTGTCTATAGAAAAGATTGCTTGGCAGGGATAGTAAAACTATCTGCATCAGACGCCTTCAAGGTAGCAAAGCTACACTGGATGTCGTGAAACACAAGAAAAAAAAAGCTCACGTGTGGTCAGATGGCGTTTCGCCACATTTTTCCATTGGAAATTTCCAGAAATCATGACAAAAACCACCAGTTTTAAGCAGTTTCAGCCGACGGCGAGACAGCGGTTTTGCGCGTATATATATTATGTTATAATATAATATAATATAATATAAGATAAGATAATATAATATATATATATATATTATAATATTATATATATATTATTATACATTATATATATATATATATCATATTATATAAACAATATTATATATATTATATTATATATATATATTGCATATTGTATATTACATATTGTATATATATTACATATTGTATGTGTATATAGTGTGTATCATATATATATTGTATATTAAATATATATATACATATTGTATAATATTTATAGTGTATATTATATTATATATATATATTATATTGTATATTATATATGTTGTATATTATATATACACAGGCATTTACACTATGTTTTCAGTATGTATGTATATATATATATGTATATGATATGTGTGTCTGTATACAATATACATTGCATTTTTCCAATGTACATGTCCCCATGTCTGGCACAAAAATAGATCATGAATTCGCATACCAAACCCGACCCACTACATGCCCATCCTGTTGGTGCAGCGTTTCGAGGGATCATTCAAGGGATTTGTTCATTAGGACGGGGCACAGGCACTACAGTAGGTGGCATTGATCACCACAAGCCCAGTGCTTCAAACTCCATCACATTCAACAACATTGGAGGGGCCAACACCACATTGATCCTCTTCGCGTTGATAACATTCGATACGCATCTGCAAGCGTCAGCGCGAGTTGTTCTGTTTTGCCTTTGTCGCATGTCTTGAACAAGCCGAAATCGCAACCACTTTTTGGGTGTGATCGAAAAGCAATGAAAATTCACCACGAAAATCGCAGCCTATGACTACTGCAGGCGGTCGAAATCTTCCGTGTTGTCACCGCTTCATTCCCGTTGGAGGCGGTTAAAGGCATTTCTTCAGCAAGTTCTGTAGTAAGTAAACTTGGAAACTCCATAAATGGGTTTGTTTGCCATTGATCTTCTTCTAAGAATGTTATGTTGACCCAAACCCAAAACTATACCATCAGCCAAGTATTGGAAACTATTCATGGTTTTATTACAACAGTTTGTTTATATTCAATCATTCTTGTTTTTGAAAGTCCGCCACCATATTATCGTTTGCCTGCTTTTTTATGGCCCGTTTCGTTAAACATTCATTTTAGCATCGTCATTTGTGCTGATCATTGCTGTCCGATCACTGCAAACAATGGGAGATCTCCAGGATCCAATTGATGAAGGTAAGTAAACGTACCATATTTTGGGCCATAGAAATTAGGGGTATATCCCCAATTTAATCCTGAAAAATAGGCCAACAATATATGGTAGGTACCTCCAATTTGGGTTCGAATGGCCAGCGGATATTCATTACAACAATATCTTGTTCACCCACCCCTTGGTTCCAACGTTCCCATCGAGGCTTGTCAGAAGAAACCAGCAGATTGCCAGCGGGATAGTATGTACCCCGTGTGTTGAAAACAATAAGACAAGCGCGGGCTGGATTTGTTGGGATCTGATGAGTCATGCTCTGGAAATTCATCCATCATCTACATTTGAAAAGAGATGAATTCAATAAATGCGTTTATGGTGTGTTCATCAGAAGATTCCGACGATCAACACGAACCTGACATCGCTTGCGATGTCCAGACCGTGCGCTGGACCAAGCCTGATTTAAGATCGTTTCATGCCACGTTGAAAACAGAAGAACGCTCGTGATTTCTGGGAAAACAATGAACATGTCCATCGATGTTCACTGTAACCATTTCTGAAAATTTCCCAGTCTCCCATGTACTCATTACTTGTTTTTTCATGTCTTTTCTCCATCTGTAGATTCCGAAAATTGTCGTTCAACTTAGCGAAGCTCCACCTTCAACTCCTCCACGACACCTTGGTGTCATGCTTCGTCGATCAGGGGGAAATCCTGATCGTAAGTCCCGTCGTGGATTCTCCCACTTACAAACGGCTTATAAGCTCAATCCCGTCTTGAAAACTCATCGTTCTCGTAGTTTTCAGGGGAAAACAAATGCCTATGTGCCCATAGGCATGACTTGTCTGTGACACTCATGGCTCATGACCTAGTTCTACTTGGCATTCTCGCAGGAAGGGACTTACGATGAACATGCTTTCTTTCCACCTTGAGAAAAGCTGAGACGATCTGAAAGAGGGAAGAGATGAGAAGACATGAGATGAGATTAGCTGAAGAAAGCTGAGACGACGAAAAAAAGATGAGAAGACATGAGATGAGCTGAGATGAGATGAGACGAGATTAACTCAGATGAGATCGCATGAGATGATGACATGATGACATGAGAAGAGGTGCGAAGAGATGAGATGAGATGAGATGAGATGAGAAGAAGTGAGGTGAGATGAGAAGGGATGAGGTGACATAAGAAGGAAATCTCAAGAGAAGAGATGCCAAGAGCAAGAGATTTCAAGAGAAGGCGATGAGAAGAGACGGAGATGTCAGATGACCGGGATGTCAAAAGATGGTTTCTGCAAAGCGCACTGATTCGATCACCCTTTTGCTTGAGCAGAATCCCCCAGTTTCCAACAAAACAAGATCATCCGCATTTGCTAAAACCCATCCCCCATAATTATATATATATGTGTTATATATATATATATGTGTTATATATATATATATATGTGTAATTACTAATCTTAATATGACACTATGACACACATCATTTGCTGATGATTTCCCCATCTGCCAAGGAACGTTCCAAGACCTTTTCGTGTTTCGTGTTGACCTCCTCATTGGTCAAGGTCCGCGACATGTCGCGCCAGGTGACGCGGAACATCTTCGAGGTGCGGCCTGCGGACAGGACTTGGGCGCGGGGACGGTTCTTTTGACGTGAAAAGCTGGATGAAACTGGGATTTAGCCAAGAAAAATCCGACGCAATTGGGAGTTTGGCCAAAAAGTATGGGATGAAATTGGGATTTAGCCAAAAACTGTGAGATGAAATTGGGATTTAGCCAAAAATTATGGGATGAAATTGGGATTTTGCCAAAAAAATGGGATGAAATTGGGATTTTGAAAAAAAAAGCGATGAAATTGGGATTTTGGCCATGAAAAATTGGACAGGGTATGGAAAAGATTGAAAATTGTGATGATGTTTTCCAACAAAACCGTCTATTACAGCAACAACAGGATTTTTAGGGATAAAAATTACATTGCCCATACACAATTGGGAAAAAAGTTAAAGAAAATGATAGGAAACGCACATAGAGCTAGTCATGATCTAGACACAAACTGGAATGCACATCCACGATCATACCATCCCCCCAAGTACCAAATCGACCCTGGCATTTGTTGTTGGACAATTCTTTCCAACCGTGAAACAGTTAGGATTTGCAGGGTCAAACTTCGGAATCGGGATGGAAATTATATCCAAGGTTCCAAGGTGCCATGCCCATGGATTTTTCATGTTTACTGTTTACCCCACCCAGGCCCGAAATCCCACCTGTCTTGGGGTGTGTGAACTCATCCAGCAAATCCACCTTTTCCACCTCGTTTTAGGGCAGATTGGTGTGCCTGGCATCCCTGGTTACCCTCTGGTAAACATACAAAAAACGATGGAAAATCACCATTTTCAATGGGAAAATCCACTATAAATGGTCATGTTCAACAGCTATGTTAAATTACCAGAGGGTATCATATCCCGGTTTGGTGGAAACCGGAAAAGGCCTCCGGTTTTTTGACAGAGTTAAATTCCAGCCACGGCCCATTTAAGTATTTTCTGTTCACCAAGGCGTGTTTGTTATTCCGGGAGGGTAATGGTCATAATCATCAACAATCAGGGAAAGTTCCCACGAACCAATCCATGGACTGGTAAATGAGATGATAATGTAAAGTATTAATGTGTTTATACAAGCTGTCCCAGTGTTATCGATAGGATTGCTTAGAAAACTGGATGAATGTTTTTCTTCGAAATTGTAATCTGAATGATATTTTTGGGGGTGTAGCCATAGCAAATCTTATTTGTGAATTCCGTGCGAGTTTTGTGCTTCCATGTGAGGTCGGGAACCCATTCCCAACAACCGTTTTCCACTTCTGGCTGATTGCTTCGGGTAAACCCGAGAAGTTCACATCGATCCCAAGAATTTCAATTTCCCAAAAGGGAACATCATCTCTTAAACCATTTCTGGGTTTTGCGTGTGAATATTCAGGGCTGTAGTGCTACTTAGATTTAGAATCCTTAGATACCCATCCCAAACAAATGTGTTTCTTACTCGTCCTGGATATCATTTGTATCTCGCAAATTTTGGCTGAAAATGTCGCTTTCGCCCAGGATTTCTCCAAAAGATGTGGGATTTTTCCCTGCCCCCTGCGCGCACCTGGTCGCCTCCCTCGTCCCGGATCATTTCGAAGAGGTCGTTGTCCACGAACTCTTCTGGAATCCACATGCTGATGTCCTGCCACATGTTTTTTCAAAAAGGAGGAAATCCCAAAAACATTGGAATAAAATACGAATACAAATTCCATAAACATTTTCTTGGAGCTTCAGACCCGCACAGAACGGTTCCTTGCAACAAGATCATTTCATCAGTAGGGCGAAGATTACTTGTCACTTTTTCAATACCCTCTGGTAATTTAACATAGCTATGAAAAATCACCATTTTTAATGGGCAAATCAACAATAAATGGGCCATCTTCCATAGCTATGTTAAATTACCAGAGGGTACTTCCAAAGTCCAGCAAATACATAAATTAACGCAACTCAGCAGGAAAATTCGTCCAAAATCGTCAGTCCTTGAGCACGGGAGGATACTTGGAAAAGGGTTTGAACTTGGTCTTCCTAAACGCTGGACGGAGGATGTTGCTTTGGATCAATCAGTGTTGGGAAAAGAACTACCTGGCATGGTATCCAATTGATGGCATTTTTTTTGTAGGTGACATTGGTGACCTATTTTAGGGTACCCTAAATTTTTGGTACCAATTTTTTTCCGCCCAAAAAAATAAGTAAACTATTGAAAAACATCATGATCTGCACCATTCCAAAATTTTGGGTACCGGATCTTCGGGAGGATCCGATAAACAACTGCTGGGGAACCCACTGCGGTGATCCCCGGAGCATCCAACCCGGTAACCCGCATTTTTTGGGGGCGACTTGTGTGTGTGTGTGTGGCTCTATATATATATATACATATATATACACATACATACCATGTGTGTATATATATTATATATATACAGACAAACAAAATCATATACATGTGACATTATGTGACAGTTTTCTTGATATTGATATGTGTTCAATTATGCGGTATATACGTTTTTAACTTATAGTTTTTCTTGTTTCTGGATTTTTGTTCGCCCTTTGAGCCATACCCAGGATGTGGGTCAGTTTGCTTGGCCCGAAGCCCACGCCCTGCGGTGCACCAAGCAGCTCCGTGAAGGATTGCGCGGTGAACTGCTGTGCAAACCGCTCATCGTCGGACCAGAAGAGCCGGATGTCCGGGATGCCGAAGAGCACCTGAGGTCTACAGGGCCATCCACTTTGATTGCAGGCTTCAAAGGGGAACCAAGGAAAGGCAGACGGTGATGTAAATGGTGAGTGATGTAGAATAACCAAGGACAATGGCTGGTTCAATCGAATTTCCATGGGGATTTAAGAGGACTCTTGACTTGAAGGGTCACCCCACGGATCAAGCCTTTCATAGATAGGATATGCCACCAAATGGGGACTTACTTGCCAGGCTTATTAATCAGTTACTAAGTGGGCTAATATCCTCCAAGGGTAAGCGAACCACAACGGTGATGTCAATGCTTAGTTAGTGAAATGCTTTGTAGATGGTCGGTTTTGGTTCACAGAAATGGTGTCTACCCAAAAAAATCTTTGGTTACAGAGAATCTCGTGATAAACCATTGGATTTGCGTCCGCTGCGTTCACCGCTATCACTAACTGACTGGGTGGCTGGCTGCCTTCCTAACGGAGAAATAGCGGACCAAAACGTGCCACCAATGCATGGGAGACAAGGCAGCGAAACAAGGCAGCCTTCGCAAACATGTCGACGATCAGGATCCCCTACATTGAGAAGTAAGAGTTCTATATCTGACGCTATCTTACAACTTGTAGGGATATATATACAAATAACCCACTGACTATTCAAACGCTTCGGAGCTATTAGCTATTATTTGGGTGTGTCAAGGTGGCTTGGGAAGGAAACCTTGTTTGTATTACCCTCCAGTAAATTAACATAGACCCTGCCATTTTTCGGGGTTGGAAGACTAGTTTCCACTATAAATTGGTCATTTTCAGGGTCAACATGTTAATTTACCAGAGGGTAACAAGAATAAATGTTTAAGGCTTAAGGTTCCATATTTTCAGAGCCATGACAATTCATGAATGGTTCTTGCTTGGCTACTTTGATGCTCAGCGCATTTCCAGCTACTCAGTTCCATGGTGAAATGGAAAATCATCCATTTTGTACCACCGGCAATATATGAGGAATTCCATTGATTTTCCATTCAGCATCCCAGTATGTAATCGGTTGATAGGCATTGTTCTAAGCCATCCATGGGATAAGCCCAGCTCCTGGTGAAATCAGCGCAGCTGCGTGCAAAAACTCAGTCGTCTTGGCCCCTTCATTAACGTGAGTAAAGCAATAGTCACCATAAATGGGTGGTATAAACCATCAAAATATGGCTGTTTTATGACGTTGCTTTACTAACACGCACCTCGTTGTCCATGAAAATTGCCAAAAAAAAAACAAGCCAAATCTTGGATTTGCTTTTTCGGAACCCTATGCCCTATATTGGTTCCCAAATCTTGGGAAAATATACCCAAATATTCTTAGAAAACATTATATAATTGGGAAAATATGCCCAAATCTTGGTTCCCCAAGCAGTGGATGAAACAGCAAATCCAAGCCAAATTCACCCTGAAACTCACCAAAGATCACCACCAGCCGAAGCACCATGGCCAAACGTTCCAAGCCGAGGCCGAAAGCCCAGCCGTGGACCTGCAACAAACCCGTTTGCACAATGGTAATTGCAGGGGTATATCAATGTGATGTTAACAATTAATAGTGGTTACTAGTGGTTACTAGTGGTTTAACAATGGTTTAACAATGGTTAAGAGTGGTGAATCATAGTGGGTTTTAACCATTTTTCACGGCTTTCCTTGGGATATTAACTACTAATCATATGATTAATAGTGATGCCCCAGGGAGCCCCGCCTGGTCGGTTTCACTTGGTTCATTTCACTGGGCTCTTGGGGGGTTACCCGGCCTGGTAAACATACGAAAAACGATGGAAAATCACCATGTTTAATGGGAAGATCCACGAACTTTCTATGGTCATGTTCAATGGCAAACTGTTAAATTACCAGAGGTTATGGACCAACTTATACTTGGGGGGGCCTTCCTGCGGGCATTCCCAGCTGTGCATGTGCAGTATACGAGTACATTGTGCATATGATGTCTTTCCGGAAAAAAAAAAGAAACACCTCCCCGATCGTTACATATTCTGCCAATGTTGAGTGGAAATCATTTACACTAGGAAAATGTAAATAATGATACATTTATGTCGGTTTACCTCCCCGATCATTGCTTCCTAGGTAGGTTTACCCTGGCAGCTTTAGCATGAAATCGCCTCGGTGGATTTGAATTCCATCCCCGCAAGCAATTTCTGGTGGAAAACACTATTAGTCACTAAGGCAAAGCCCCAGTCATAACCCTCACCAAGCGACATTTAGAAAAAATGTATCATGTATCACCAGAAAAAATGTGTGGTTTGAACTCAAATATGCTGGTTAAATCCCATCAAACAACCCATCAACCAGGCTTATATGTCCTAATGTCGATATGTCGATATGATATCCATTTCTATGCCTTAAATTTCCACTTAAAATGATGGTATTATCATCAAGCACCCATCATTTATCAATTATATCCCTATATATATATATATGTTGGTGGTTAAACCCTAACTATATGATGATTGAACTAGTAAATCAACCATCGACCAAGAGAGATCAACAAAATCCCTAAGTTGTGTTGGTGAATCCCAGCAAATCTATATATATATACAGTGTATGGTTGAAGTACCTTGTTTCCCATTGAATATCATAATTACCATCTGGTTATGACTAACATAGCCATGGAAAATCACCATGTTTAATAGGTAAACCATCTATTTCTATGGGCCATCTATACCATGGCTATGTTAAATAAGCAGAGGGTAACTCTGCCTTTCGAAATCCCACGTGTTCGTTTGTTTCCCCCAGTCCTCTCGCCTTCTCTGGGTCCAATCCTGCATTTCGCAGCACCTCGAGGCAGCTTTTTTCCCGGCGGTGCGGTGGACGTGAGATGCTAACCAGCTCCTCCATCAAACCCTGTACATTGACTACATTGCTTGATCATATATCAGATATATCAGATATATCAGATAGATAGATATATATATATATATATTGACTACATTGACCAATGAAGCCGTGCACCATTGGCCAAACCATTCACCAAGGCTGCGACATCGTGGTGAATCACCTCAGGGGCCGAAATCTGGGGCTTTTTTATTCGAAAGGAACGCAGAGAAGAAGAGCCGTCTGGAAAAATGGAGTCAATATGTCTATAATTTATGATTGGTTATTGGTATATTCTATAATTTATGATTGGTTGTTGGTATATCTTCATATATCTTTCTGATATACTGATATATTGTCAATTATATTGTCATTAGTAATTAGTAAATCACCCAGTGTATTGGTATGTGGGCGTCATCTGATCCCAATCACCAGACTAAAAACACTGGCTGCACAGTCATAATTGGCTTCTTTCCCAACAAACTGTCCCAGTGATCAGTGAAAGACTCACCTCCTTCTCTCATTGCCATAGTCCGAATATCACAAAAACACTCATAATAATGAACGCTGAAATACTGATTCGTTGTTTGATGCAACCTGGCAATGTACTACTATATGCCCCATGCATAGATGGTGTTTCTCCTTTTTGGCATTGAAACCTAGGATTTCCAGCGCAATACCAAACCAAGTTGGCTACATCTGGATGGATACACATGGTAAAAAAAGCATAGACCCATCTAACTCCCAATATGAAAAACATGTTGCATAAATCATAGTAAATCCTCAGTTTGAATGGCATTTTGTAGCTCATATAAGTGGATAAATCCTCATAAATGGTGAATTATCAATGAATTATCATGAATTTTCCACTGATAAGTTGATTTTCCACTTCACCAATTATTTCCACTTTTAAGAAGTTAAAAAATGGCAATCCTCAGCCGAGAGACGCCGCAGCCCAGTACTTCCATCCAGTCCTCCTGGTAGAAGATCTCCAGTTCCACAGAGGGCTCCGTGAAGGGAAAATACCTCCAGTTGCGATGGGAGACGTGACATCTGTTGAGAAAATATGTCTCATGAATAGTTATATTGTATGTCTGAAAATAAAAATGTATATATATATATATACATATGAAGATGCAGCTGAATATATATATATGTATGTATATATATATGTATATAGAGTTCCTTTTAGATTTACATATAATACCTACTTTTTTGGGGTAAATTCCTTTAAAGCCCCCAATTTCGCGGATGCCAAAACCCAGCTCGTCCCATATGTCGCACTCGTCGAGCCAGCGCATGGTGTCTTCGCCCGTTTTCAGATTAAAGAGATGCGCCGCCAGACCCTCCAGAGTCTTCCTAGGCCATCCCGATGTTTCAATGGATCTGGATCTACTAGGGTCTATGAATGTGAGATGGATTTTTATAGCTATATTTCTTTCTATAGGTTGGCTTCTATAGTTAGTTTATGGTGATGATATAACTATATATAGTTAGATGGGTAATGAGCCAATGGATCGATAGAAATGGGTATGGCTCAAAATTGAGCCGGGGGAACCAGCAGTTTTGGGATAACAGGATAACTATATAATTTTGACCTATATCCAAATAGCAATCCCTGAACATAGATGGGAAAGCATCCACAAGATCCTGGAAACGCAAAATTCGATCTTTTGGAGGATCCCTAAGTGCCGGAAATTGTGCCGGAAAGCCATATTCTTGAACCCCCGAATACCGCGGTGTCCTATAAATTCTCCCTTCAACTGGTTCTGGGACATCAGTACCTGGTTAAGAACCCTGGTGATCGTATGTGTCCCCGTGGGGTTCTCCTGTTTCTCGCTAAACTCACTGCACCAGGCTGTGGTAGCCTTGAATACCACAAGGCGGTGCCCCTGCTCATTCACGAAGATTTCACTGGGGCTTGGTAGATATATTACTGTAATCATACTGGTTGGTGGTATACCTACCCCTCTGAAAAACATCAGTCAGTTGGGGATGATTATTCCCATATATTATGGAAAATAAAAAATGTTCCAAACCACCAACCAGAATATATTGCACTAGCTAGATGGGTTTACCAACCGTTGCAGAACTGAGAGGGTTGCCATGGTTTGTCAACAGAACTCGGAGGTACCAGGCAGGTAATGCCAATCCGGCAGATTTCGTCATGTCCCCAGTGGATTTCCGGGGTGCGGCTCTGATCTTCAGGAAATCATCCTGGAACAGGAAAACATTATATATATATATAGTGATAATATTGTAAATATTGTATATATATATATATTTACTTATATATATATTTATATATATATATTTATATATATATATTTATTTATATATATATATATGTGTGTATAATCTCCGAGAATTTCTCTCCGAGCATCTTCAAGTCTTCCATCACCTCTTCTTTGGAGACCTGAACAAAAATTGGATCAACTCCGGGGACCACCCGGGGTAGAACCTGGCCGCCTGGCAATTTTTTTTTGCCACTTCGAAACTGGGATGGTCCGCTTCACTCATGTGGAACGATCATCCAGACCACGAAGTGTTTGCCCATTCCAATCCCAATGGTATTTTAATGGGATATGAATGGAATCCAATGGTATTTTAATGGGATATAACTCTTGATTCCGATTCATGATACTTAATTAATTCCCCTCAAGTGTTAGCAGGATATGACATATGGGCGTGTCTGAAGATATGATAGATATACAGTACCCCAACTATGGCCATTTTTTAAAAAGGGATGATGATGATTAAGCATCAAATTCTGAGGTTGTCCCTTAAACTTTCAGACAAACCTTACAGGGATTCACCCGAAAGTCACAACCATCAGCACCAGCCACCAGCCTTCTGAGCGTCAAAGAGCCGAACTCCTAGCACCAAGTGATACCCAGTGCCAAGGGACGAGCATGAAATTTGTGGCAAAGCTATCGTTTACCTATAATACATTGGAGCACAAAATGCCTGAATGTTTCATATGAAATCCAATCATCGTCCAAGATAGATGCAGTAGGCACAGTTGATGACCATACGCAACCATTTTGACAACCAGCTCGGGGTTATTTCTAGGTGTCAAAAAAATACAATAACAACAACACTAATAGTAATAAATAGTAATAATCAAAACAAAAACAACATCTGACATGCCATTTGTATATGAAGCAACATTTCATGAACCTCAAATTGTTCCAGTGAAATCCTCACCCTCGAAACCTGGGAAAAACTGCAGTGGAAGGGTTTGGAAATTGTCCACAGGAAACCATGGATTTCTCCCATCAAAATATGGATGATAACTTGGGCCCCATGGATTGGAAACCACCAAATATCTCAGGTTTCCACTCCCCAGATCTTCGAGGCCGAGCATTTTTCGGTGAAGCACTTCACCAAATGCTGTTCAACCCCTGAAAACTCATATGATTTTCAACAAGAATCCAAAAAAATGAAATATAAATAGATATGACAGATATGACTTAATTTCAAAACCATTTTTTATATGCATATCTATTATATTTTCATATGACTCTAATTATTTAATTAGATATGAACCATTTTTTATATGGTGTTCAAGAAAATTACCTTCAAAATGCTTCGTTGAATTCGTTGAATCTGATCTGATTCTTGAAAATGGCTACGTTCAAAATGGGTTTCATATCTTAGATTTCAGGAGGCTAAACACATGGGTTTCTTCATGGTAATCATCGATTTAGAGGTAAACATACATATGTGTATAATATATATATATATATATTATATATATATATATACACATACATCTTATCTTCTTGGTTGTATAGTTTATCAAAATTAATGTGCAGTATGTATCCCCATTTTGGGTTGAATCCCCATTCCTGGTTGAATCCCTACGGTGGATGGTTGAGAAATCCTGCACCTGGGATGGTAGAAAGCCTGGAATAATGGGATGTTTACCACCGTTTGAAAAACTGGTGCAGGATTTCGCAACCATCCACCGTATCTCAATGATATCCCTATGTCTGGAACAACAAAACGTCAATCAGAAATCTTAGGTGAGCCGAAACGTCAACCTTCAGCTGGTGCAGTTGAGGTTCCAAATTACTGTAAGGATTAGGTCATAAACCCCCATACCCTCCCGTAATCAAACATGGCAATGGAAAATACACTATTTATCGATGATTTTCCAATTGAAACCCCCATTTCTAATGGATTTCCAATGGCATCCAATTGCCACGATTCCCGGAGAGTAAGTTGGGATATGGGGTCGGTTTCCCCACTCAACCCATACAGATTTCCTATTCCCTGTGGTGCCAGAAGGCGATGATGGTCCAAAAACCTCACCTGGTGGTTTTTCGCCACTGAAAAATCATGGAGTTCGGACCAGTTGGGATGATGACATTCCCAATATATTGGAAAGTCAGTCAAAATTCCATGGTTCCAAACCATCAACCAGGAACTATACCCTATAACCACCAAGATATTGGAAAATAAAATTCATGTTCCAAACCACCAACCAGTCACTATCACAATGCTCGCATAATTCATAGTTAAGCTACTTATAAACCAAATTAGCTAACTAAATCCATATCATGTGGTAGCTTAAGTCGCCATTATTGATGAGACCGCCAGTTTTCATGTTTGCTGGTTCAGCCGGTACTCATATCATAAAACCCATTCATTACCACCTTTCAGGTCAAAATCCTGTGAAAGCATCGCCAAAATCACCAGTTTTGCTGGTGAAATCCATGTCAACCCTGGTCGCCACAGGGGTATCGGCTCGGCGTTGGCCGCGTCCTTCGCACTGATGGAAGGCCGGGTAGTGCGAGGCGTCGATCTCGTCTCTTCGATAGACGTCCCCCGCGCAGAGGAAGCTGCTGATCTCGGGGTATTGACTCAGGAACCTGGCAGAGTGAAATATCTGGATAGTGTCATGTTAAGATATATATAATATACATATCATATATTATTATATATTATGAATATATTATTACATAATATATTACTAGTACAAGTTTAATATATGATTAATATATTATTAAAACATCATTAATATATTATTAATACATTATTAATATATTATTAATACATTATTAATGCATTTTTAAGATAGTAGTAATATGTTATTAATATATTATTAATAGATTACTAATATATTATTACTATTACTATTATGATATAATCTATAATGGTTACCAATATTACAATACTAATGCAAAATTCGGGTACACAGTTGAGGTGATCTAAATGGGTACTAATATCATCACTACATAGCTAATGGATAGTATATTCCTATAGTTATAGTAACTATAGTAATTGGTTAGCCCCAATTTCCATTGCAATGCTTCTTAGATATTATATATATAATATATATAACACCTTTTATTTATAGTAGTTACTAATATTACAAATGTAATGGGCATGATATGTCGTTAACCAATCATATTGAATTTATGATGATATATTCGTAAAAATAATAATCCTAATCAGTGTATGTTTTAATACTGATTATGAATATAGTCAGTAAAGCTAGTAACATAGTCAATATTGAAGTATACATCTAGTCAGACTACTCTGCTAATCAACCTTAGAGGGGTCGCAATACCAACATTTGGGGTACCAAGTGAATTCTTCTGACTAAATATAACAATCATGGGCCATTTTGAATCATCATATTATATATAACAATAATGTTGAATATAACAATAATAAAACTGATTACCCTCTGGTTATTTAACATAGCCATGGAAAATGGCCCATTTATAGATGATTTTCCCATTAAAACCTCCATTTATAAGGGATTTTCCATGGCTATGTTAAATAACAAGATGGTAAACACATAACAATAATGTTGAATCATCATTCCCACCCACCCATCCAATAGACCGAATCATAAAAAAAAGTGAGCTCTCCTATGATGCTGCTCTTTTAGCGGCGCTAAGCCACAGCCCAACAAACAGCCACTATCGTAGGTAAGTGGAGGATAAACATATCTATTGCATCATGATGATATTGATAAACCATGATAAACCTATGGTTGTCATAGTATGATGCTGCTAATATGACACATTTCTTGCGGATGATCATGAAAAATGGCAACCTTGGAGGGGATAAATGCCAACTCATGGAGCACGAAAGAACGCCCATGATGGTTAGATTGTGTGTGTGTGTCATTATTTACTATTTCGATACCAACAGGGCGATCAACTGGGAACAATTGGGTGTTCACTACCAATGTTCAGGGTTTCAAGGGATCCCAGCTGATCATTATTAGTCCTTATTATGGAACACCAACAAGAAGGAATGATCTATCAAATCCTACCCATAAGGGCATATAATCACCAGTATTCCTCAGTTCGACAACCTGAGAAGACAAAGGAGGATCTTCGTATTGGGAGACAGAATGCTGTTTCCATCTGTGGATGTGTCTGTATTGTTCTGTATGATGTGCATGTAATGGGGTACAGCAAACCTAATACTATAAGCTGGCTGGTATAAACATCCCCACAATCAATCCATGTGGGGTGTGTCTCTAAAATTGCGGGAAATTGGCCCCAGAAAACTCATGTTTTTGAGAAAATATGATGGTTAAGTTGGCAAAGTGTGAAACTTGGAGTACACAATGTTCAATCTCATCAATGGACTACTTGGCAAGTTGACAAGGCCATCATAGACTCTGGTGAACGCGTTCAACCCTTGACCACGATCCAACTCTTCGCCTCCATCTACAGTGAATCTACAGGGTCCCTCATCTTCCAAAATGTCGGGGCACTGAATAAACCCGACATCAAGCAAGTTCTAATCCCGGAATCGGCATCATGAAACTCAGGGGATGATCACTGTGACGCTATCCCATCTGGTTATGTCAAAATAGCTATTGAAAATGGCCATAGAAATAGTGGATTTTCCCATTAATAGCATGGTGATTTTCCATTGCTATGTTAGTTTACCAGAGGGTATCCCATCTGGATGATCATCACTGACCGGCAAAAAGTTCAGCCAGGTCGCTGACACTGGTGGGCCGAGGTGTGCGTCCTCAACACCTCAGGCGAGGCTCCGCGCAAAGGACGGATCAACGAAGGATCTAGATATGGAAGTGATGTAGCATCTGGTTATTTAACATAGCCATGGAAAATCACCATTTTTTATAGGTAAACCATCTATTTCTATGGGGACTGTTGTGGCCGCCTCTTTTTTAACTATTGTTGTCAAGTTTTTAATTAACCATGAACTATTTCACTGGGAAACCTACACAAAAAAGTCATGAATAACTCTTGAACCATTGTTTAGCCAAATGTCTTGCAATTTTATTTGGTAAGTTCCAGGCAGTCTTGACAAATGTCATGGGACACATATGAAATTATTTCGTGAGAAACATTATTTGCAGCCTTTACCAAGTTTTGAAAAGGATCTGAAACTTTAGCAGCAATGGCCCTCAGGTTCATTTCATCAAAGTATCTTTGGTTCAGTTAGTGGTCTGCCTAAAAGGTCTTGCATGTGTATATATACTTTTACTTTCTAAGTTGTCATCCTTGAAAATCACAAATTTTCTTGCAGCAGCAGTTCAAAATCTCAAGCTTTCAGCTTTCCAGGCATGTCAAAATCATTCAAAATCTGTAGATTTTTGGTATGCAGTTTATATGCAGTTTATATGTAGTTTATATGCAGTTTATATGCAGTTTTCAAAACTGCATATAAACTACATGTAGTTTGGTCAAAACTGCATATAAACTACATGTAGTTTTGAAACTGCATATAAACTGCATATAAACTGCATATAAACTGCATATAAACTTCATATAAAATTTATATGAAATTCAAGGGCTGACATGTGGTTTTTAAGGATTTTGATTATACATTTGGACTTGATTCCACTGATTCCCAAACCTTTGGACACCAATATGGACATATAAAATTCATAGTGTGATGCAATCAAAACTGGCAATGCCAGCAACTTGTTTCCTTTCCCAAAACTTTGAAACAATTGCAAGTGCAAAGGCCCAGTGCACTTGTTTACAAAAATGATTTGAAGAATCATAAAAGGTTATTTCTGTTCACAAGTAAGTAAGCATCTCTAAAGATCCAAGATCATCATATGTAAATCTCAAGTAAAGAGGTTTCAAGGAACCATAAAAGATTCTTTTGGCTCACAAGGAAACATCTGTACAGGCCCAGATCATCCCCTACACATGTAAATATCAAGTAAAGATGCTCTAATATACCACAAAAATCCAAGAACATCACATGTAAATCTCAAGTAAGGATGTTTTAGGCAGGACAATACAAGTTTCTGCTTGTGTTCACAAGTAAACATCTGTACAGGTCCAAGAACATCACATGTAAATCTCAAGTCAAGAGGTTTTAAACAAAACAATAAACTTCTTTGTATTCACAAGTAAGCATTTGTACAGATCCAAGAGCATCACATGTAAATCTCAAGTAAGAATCTTTGGAGGAAACTGTCAGTGAACATATAGAGATTGAAGTGCTAGCTACTATTGGAAAAATGTATATGGAAAATCCAAAACTGTTTCAAGTATCCCCAGGTTTTTGCCTGCAACAAAGAAGCATGTTTCAAATGTTATGGATGCTTGGTCCCAAAATGGTAAAAAGACAATGATATGATCGTTACATGAACCTGCGCCTGGCATAAAGTACTCAGGCTTTGTTTGGAGGGTCACTTGATGGATCCTTAATTGAAGAAACTTCTATGTGCCAATCTTTACTTGTGGATTCAAACAATATGGTATATATTTGATGGATCCTTACTTGAGGAAACTTCCATGTGCTAATGCTTACTTGTGGATTCAAACGACATGGCCTATATTTGATGGATGAGCAGGGAATATAGAAAATTAGCTAACCACATGTTGGAAATTAGTAGTTAAATAGATCTGATGATCTTAGATTAACTTGCTTCAGTAGTCCAGACACAGAGAGAGCGGCGCTAAAAGCCAATAAAGGCAGATGACCAGAGAATATAGAAAATTAGCCAACCACATGCCATAGCTTCAGGAGTCCAGACACAGAGAGAGCGACGCTAAAAGCCAATAAAGGCAGATGACTAGGGAATATAGAAAATTAGCCAACCATATGTTAGAAAGTAGTAGTTAAATAGATCTGATGATCTTAGATTAACTTGCTTCAGGAGTCCAGACACAGAGAGAGCGGCGCTAAAAGCCAATAAAGGCAGATGACCAGAGAATATAGAAAATTAGCCAACCACATGTTAGTACTTAAATGTTAAATAGATCTGATGATCGTAGATTAGCTTGGATTAATCTGGATTAATCTGGATTAATCTGGGACCAAAAAAAACAAAAAAAACAAAAAAAACAAAAAAAACAATGTTTTGGAGACTAGTCTAAAGATAGCCCTGATCCAAGTAGTCCTGAAAACATTGGTTTTTTTGTTTTTTTTGTTTTTTTGTTTTTTTTGGTTTTTTTGGTTTTTTTGGTCCCAGATTAATCCAGATTAATCCTTGGGGCTTGAACAGATATCAACACACAAGTTATCGGAAGGGAATGTTGTGACACCCAAATCTCACAAGAACACAAGTTATCGGAAGGGAATGTTGTGACACCCAAATCTCACAAGAAGTATTCTTTATACATATTAAGTGTGAGATTTGGGCGGCCACAACAGTCCTTTCTGAAAAAAAATACTTTTGATTAAGCTTGCTAGTCACGAGTCGATTTTCTCTTGCAAAATGGCAAAGAATTTAGTCATTAACTTTCCAAACTGAAGTTGATCCAGCTTTGAAGGGGACTGAAGTCACAGGATTTCATGCTCGGGTAAGCTTCTGCTGGGGAATTCCAATGACTCTAAGTTTTTCCTCACTAAGTGGTGGATCGTTGGAAATTAAAGGCCACTTAGGGGGTGCAGTTGGGATGGCTATAACTGGCAAAAAAACATGGGTCTTCAACCCCATTAAGTTGGGATATGGGGCCCTTATGACGATGGTCAAACATGTATATTACATACATACATGCGCCGTGTGATTATATGCCAATTCAGGCCTGATGTTAGGTGAGTGACCGCCATTAACCCCTATTAAATGAAGCGTATTATTACGCCAAATTATGGGGGAACGATTACCTTTGGGCCCAAGATGTTCATCCTGAGAATGAAGAGATCTGAGTACCATGATCCTCTGCTACTGTAGATATACCCACTTACATGTGCAATTTCATTTACAATCATAAACAATCATAAACATACATGTGTTTTTATCTAAGATGTAGATATACCCAGGTATACCTGCTTAATCTATACAGAATCGACACAGCTACCCCACCCCCAATCCCCCAATCCCGCACCAAGCCGCGTAGTCCGCGTTCACGTAGTAGGTGTCCGAGGGCGAGCGCGAGACGTGATCCGGTGGCACCCGCAACTTGTCAAAGCACTCCACCGTGGACACCACGGGCTTCTCGGTGTCGAAAAATTTGCCTCGGGGTCGATGAGAGATGGGGCACTGCTTCGAAAATCATCTTAAATTGGAATCGTAAAGTGGAAATGTTAGAATCCAATTATCATAAAAACACACATCACAACAAGTAATAATGTGTCCCTTCCGATATGGTTCATGGCATTGATCCAACATTTTATAAAGTATACCCGAGCATACCCGAGTTGATTTTAATATGTGGATCCACAGCAGGCCTCACACAATTGCCGAGTTGCAGTTGGGATCCTGTTCGGCAAAATAGTCTTGCACTGTCTTCCACAAAATTCCCAAGGGATGCTTCTCATTCAACAAGAGGTTCTTCCCCAGTTTTTCTCTGACTCCAGCAGGCACATTGTACTTCTCATCTGGTTTAATCCCCAAAATCTCCTCAGGCGGTGCCAGCACAGTGGCCGCCTTCCTCGGCAGCCCAGGCACCTTCGGCGCCGTGCGCGTCACGGCCGTGTGTCCCGCCAAGGCGCGGCGCGGCACGCTCCGGGAGAAACGTCTCAGGGTCACCAGCCCGGCGCCTAGCGCCATGGCGCCGAAGCCCACAGACCCCCGTGCAGCGTGGGCACCAGCAGAGCCACGGGTGCCGCGGAGCTTTGGCTCCGGGGGTGCCGCGGATGGGGAGGCAGACAGGGACGGACTCACCACGAAAGCGCTGCTCATGGCGACTGCAGGGGCCACACGTGCTGGGCCAGTCTTTGAAGCTGCGGAGGCTGAGTTGGGATCAGCTTCAGTCATTGGGATGGTCAATAAGCAGCAGTTGCAACATATTGATAACTACCCATCAACACTTTGGTCTGCATCCTGCATCAAACGTCCATCCATTTTATATCTCCCTCAACCCTTACGTGGAAGTAGAAGATCCATCCACCCTGACTACCCACTAATTTTGGACTGTTTTTTTCGAGCTCTCTAGCTCCTTTTTTACCAACGGTCTTGATTATCCCTTACTTCTTGGCTGGTTTGTCTGAAAATAGGGTATCCCAAAGTTTGATCTTGTTTCCCATTCATAATGTTATTGTCAGTTATATAAATCCCCAGTAATGACACAACCATCTCCTAGCTGAGGTCCCACACTGCCTACAAAGACACCGACACGTGGATGCTGTCGCACCTACAGCGCTGAAGCAGACGACAGGAAATTGTCATCATCACAGTGCTTTCGATCATCTTTCTGGGGCTGGGATTATGATCACATTGATATATATATATATATAGAGAGAGAGAGAGATTATATAATTGTGTATATGTCTATATATATATATATGTATATATATATATATGTATGTATACATATATATATATATACATACATACATATATATATATGTATCCGGATATCCGGATGGTAGTGATGAAAGCGTCTTGGTGTAGAGGAACATTCCACGCAAATAACAAATGTCTCAAGAGCTCCCCCTTCTTAACAGAGACGTGTTTGTGATGACTCTGGGCCTCTTGGACATTTGTCTCATGCGCCTGAGAACCACAGGTATTGACCTACAATTGTCTGTTTCGATCGGGTAAACTCTAAATTTTTGGGTCGCTTACCTGGTTGAAGACGCACTCATTTGATGGTCTCTTTCCTTGCGGTTGCATTTGAGACAAAGCTCGGTGGACACATTCGATACTGACAGGTAGAACCCCAAAGCTGGTAGAATCATTAGTTTGGGGTATCCCAGTCTTGGTTTCGGGGTATACCATACCAGAAAAATCCAGATACGGTACTTACCTACCTGGAAGAACTTTCAGAACTCTCCAGCATCAGCCGCTCATCGCTCAGCCCTTTTTTTTTCCGCTATTCGACGTCGAAAGCACAGGAACCGCAGCATTGGCATTCCAGGGAATTGTGTTGCTCCCCCAATTCCCACAGCAGCCATCCATCCTCTGTCTGAAAAACCTTGCAGCAATCACTACAGCAGTAGATGGCCAGGTTCATGCGGATGGATTGAGAGAAGGGCGAGCCATCTTCAGGGCTCAAACTTTTCAAATATGAGATGTTGTACCATGAGATACTCTCCCAGGTGGTGATATTTGCCAGCGCCAGATATGAATGAAAACACACCAAGCACGTCACCATTACCAGCAGCATACCTCAAGCAAAAGAGATGGCCTTAAATAATTTTGAATCACCAATCAAGTACAGGTATTGTAGATGATATATAATAATGTACACGTATATGCCATATAGTTGGAAATTCCTTTCAACATGTAAAAAAGCAGAAACATCAAAGTCAAAACTCATTTTTTGGGGGTGGGGGAAATGGTTTGTCTGAAAATAGAATACCCTAAATCTACTGGTTCATCATCATGTTTCCTATCAAAATAGAATAAGATAGCAATGGTGGGTGTATACTCCAAATGGGGGGGTTCCAGAAATGTGGGTACCCCTAAATCATCAGGGGTACTCCCATTTATGGAAACCAAATATGAAACAAAAGACGGGGGGGTCCAGAAATGATCCATAATATTCCCATTTGTGGAACCCCCCATGAAATCTTCATGTTCAGACACTATATATATATATGTTAAAAAGTGTTCTATTACGTACGAGTTTTAAACAATATACATAAATATTCACATATCATCACCTCTCTGTATACACATAATAGATAAACACCAAAAAAGAACGAAGGTTATGATGGTCAAATCCCCATATTTCTCAACATGAAGTCCAAGTAATTGGTTTAAAATCCCCATATCCATAATATTCCCGTGTGGTATTGTAATAGTCCCATCTATTATATCTGGGTAAATTATAATATTTTACTAACCTGATTTTTTCGGCCATTTGGGGATGATTTCCCTTATGAACCATGATTTCCCTTATTAACCATTACCCAGATTATATAGATCTTCATTTCCAGACACACAAAACACTAAAGCCCATTTGGTATTATAATAATCCCATCTATTCTATAAATCGTCCTTTCCAGGCACTTAAACTAAAGTGTTTAAACAAGACACTAAAAAAACAAAACAAAAACACTAAAGTTGTCTTATAAAGTGTTCCCTTAGAACAAAACACTAAAGTCTTCTCTGGTTGGTGGTTTCAACCCCTCTGGAAAATATGAAAGTCAGTTGGGATTATGAAATTCCCAATATATGGAAAGTCATCAAATTCCATGGTTCCAAACCACCAACCAGTTCTAAAACTCAGCACTGGCGACATTTCACCAGGGTCCCAAGCAGCAGCAGCGGCGCTCGCCGCAGCCAGCTGGGGGGAGCTAAGCCATCGTGGGCAAAGAAAGCGCAGGACTCCACGGTGAAGACCAGCAACTCGCACCACCTTAGAGCATCATCCCACAAGTCTGAAAAAAAAAAAACACGTAAGAAAAACCATGGAAAAAATATGGTGATTTCATGAGATATATTATATATATATATAATATATAATATATAATATGTAATATTTAATATGTAATATGTAATATATAAAATAATGTAGACATATTATTTTTGATAGCTAAGTAACTGGGGTTATAACATGTTATAACTTGCAACTGAGTTATAAGCAGGATGGTCCTCCAAGCGCAGAAGGACCACGGAAACCCATATACATCTACATCTACATCTACATATACATATACATATACATATACATATACATATACATGCATGTATGCATGCATGTATGTATGTCTGTCTGTCTGTATGTATGTCTGTCTGTATGTATATTTTTTATGGATATCAAAAATGAAACAAATCATCTTGAGCAACTCCAAGCCACTGCAGTACCAGGAACCAGAAGAAATAGACACGATTCCCTTCACCAACACAGGTGCCCACCCAGGGACAATGGTGATCGTGTGTGCGAACACATCTCCCGCAGTCTCGGCAGTGTTTGGTCCTCAGAGGCTGATGCATCTGGCACACCTTGCAGAAGCGGAGCTTCGCACGCGACTTGGACTGAAACTGCGCCAGCTGACTGGGGGGAGGTGGGGCAGTGGGTGGAGCCGCATCCGATGGGCTCAGATTACTGTCTTTGCTGAGTTCTTCCAGCGATATGATCTCTTCGCCTGGGCGGAATCTGCGACATGAATCGAGGACGTGTCACGCTGGGGGTTCTTCATTTACTTGGCTGTAAGAAATTCCGCAGCTGCAGGACAAATAGCCAAATTCCTCAACAACGATAAACTCAAAGCATCCAACGAGCTGTTTTTACGTACGCTTTTACATACACAAGATCTGGAAAATCAAACTAACCACAATAGACCCACGATTCCGATCTGCTCAAATGTACAGTATCCCCATTAGATGCACAAACCCATAGAAACCCCCATGGAGTGCTGGGTTTCAACTTATAAAACCTTCTTTGCTGAAATCCATCTGAACTTTTTGCCCTGCCTGGATCTTCCACTTCTTCCTCCAGTTGCCATCCAATCGGTTGCAGCTCTGTATCCATGTAGGTCGGTCGCCGGACCTCCGACCCAAGCGCTCTGTTCCGCCAGGGCCACAAGCAGAGCAACGGGGCCGCCGCAGAAGCACAGCGAGGGGCACGGGGTTTGGAGGCCAAGAAGCCCGGGTCGCAACAAACGGTCCTGACCTGAACCGCTTGGAGTTGCTTTTCCGGTCCTAAAATTTGAACAGATTCCCTTCATCGATTCCCTCCTGGTGGATTTCCCACGGGAAAAACAAAAAAAAACTAAACAGCCCCAGGTAAGGGCCATGGGGTGGTGAAGTTAAAGATGAAAACCGAACTTCACAGGCTAACTGGTGTGATTTATTCAGAATTTATCCAAGAAAATGCGATGCCTAGAACAACAGGGATTTATTGGAAAAAACAAGATGGGTTTATATTTAATTTATATAATTATATAACCATTAAAAGTTGTGATTTGATAAGCAAAAGGATGATTTTGGCCGCAAGAATTGGGATAAGCAGATATCGGGATGTTATGAACACGATGGGTTTGATTTAAAGTTGAAAACCAACATGGAGCCTCCTCCCAGGGTTCCCATGAATTTCGGGAAACGTCGCTTGGTGCCACACTCTGTCTACCCGTAAAGAGCTCTAGTCGAATCAACCGCCAACAGAGACACGCTTAAATGAAGCAAGAAACTTGGGCATCTGGGTGTGAGCAACAAGGAATGACTACATTAAGCAACAAACTCAGGATCTTGGTTGGTCAAGTTGGGTGTTATCTGTTGGAAATAGATAGCCCACACAACTGTCGTATTGGGAGTCCCAATAAGATTCGTTGCGTGGAAACCAAGAACAAAGATTTCCCATGCAAGCAGCGGCCAAGATCCTGATCAAAGTCACCACATGGAAACAGCCCTTGTTTGGAGAACCGGCCCAACCATGGACTACTCCCAGGTCTATCTGCGATTAAAAAAAAAAAAAACATTTCCTTGGCATTTCAACCCTTAACACCCAGTTCTCATAGTATGTCATGGTTGTTTGCAGCCATACTAACCCCAAAAGTCATGGAAGTTTCAAGTCCGTTAAAAACAAAAAGAAAAAATGATGAAAATATTAAATAATAGTAAAGTAATAAATAACAATAATTATCAATGATAAATGATAATAATAATAACCATATTAATAATAAACAATAGTAATAAAGCTCCGTTCTAAGTTCTAAGTCTATTAAAAAAAATAAAAAAAAACTTCCATTCTAAGTCCATAAAGTCTCAACAAAAAAACCCTCAAACCAGGTCACATAGGCCAGGATGGCCCCCAATGCCAGCAGCCACTCCAGCACCGTGCGCTTGGTCGGAGTCAGCAGGTCGGGGCGGTGCAGCGCCACATTGGACAAAAGCAGAAGGTGCAGCCCCAGCACGGCCAGGGGCGCCAGGACACGTTCGCTGGGAGCCGACATGTGGAAAGGAGGCTGATCCTGAAAAAAGGACTGACAGGTCGCCATAAACCAATCATGTTTGGTTCAACCCCTTGCGTACTGGAGGTTTTAAGGTTAAGAACCTCCACTTATAGATCTAAGATTTTGAGATTCTAGGGTAAGGTTCCATTGCAATTCTCAGCTTTAATGTATCTCTTGGGTGTGAAGCGCTGCTCCGTCGCTTCATGCGGCAACTTACATGCGCATTTTTTTGCCTAGTTGGTGCTTTTCGGATCATCCCCCACTAGGTCAACAGCTGTTTTTGAAGTTTCATTTAACGCGTCACGCTGCAAAACCGCTGCCTTGGAGCCAAGTTGAGGATTGAGGGCAAACAAAGGAGGTTTGCCTAATCATTTCACAAAAAAAAACTGTACCCTCCGGTGTCAGCTCCATGGCTTCAAAATCCATCGTTTTCGATGATTTTCCCGTCTAGAAACCTTCATTTAAAAGGGATTTGCCAGCCATGTTTCATGACACCAGAGGGTATGGGTCTTTTTTTGGGTCTGTCTGAAAATGAGGCGCCCCCAGCAAAAATAGATGGGTGATCATCACTGGTTGGTGGTTTGAACCCCTCTGAAAAATATGCTCGTCAGTTGGGATGGTTATTGCCAATATATGGAGAAAAAAAATGTTCCAAACCACCAAACAGATCATTTATTCCATTAAAATTGCATTTCATGAGTATGCCCCATGTTTCAAGAAACCCAAACTGACAAGTGCCAGCCTGCGCGCATATTTGGGGAGTCAAAATCAGATACCCCAAAAATGAGATGGCGTTGAATCCTGAAAATAACCCACAAATCTGTGATCCTCTTGGCGATTTTTCTTGCCTTGCCCCAGACAAATATCTGGTTCGTCATTTCCCAGAAGTCTTGCTCGTGATGTCCCCGATTCAGTTGTTCATTTGGCCAGGGATCAAAACGCTTGTACACTTTTGGTTTTCATCTCGCAATCTTAAATCGATATTCATCCACCAATTCATATTGCAAAATCATAGCGTTTTGACCCCATATCTGCCTGTTTGCTGGTAAAATTCTCGGTTTCAGCAAGTAAATCCCCCTTCTTGCTGCATGCACAGTTTGGTGTCTTGTCCAATTCCAGAGTGTCTAATTGTTGATTAGATCACATTCAGATTCAAGTGTGGGTAAAGCAATGCCATAAACCCCCCATGACTGGGAATTGTTTATAGCACCTATTGGAATGGATTTTGGGGGGGATGATTTATGACATTGTTTTACCCACATTACTTGGTTTGATCATGTAAAAAGCTCCCGATGTTTGGGTGCAAGTCATGTTCCCCTCCATCAACCCTGGCCATTGGAACTCCCCTCGAGGCCTCTAGGGGTGGCATGCGAAGGTAGGGTGGAGAGCTCCGCTGCGGCACCAGCAAGTCACGCAGACGCCTAAGGGCAAGTCATGGAGGTTTCACCCAGAAACGATTGACTTCTATGGGGAAGACATTGAGAAAATCTTGGGAAAATCATAGCTGGTTGGTGGTTTTTCGCTTTCATCATGGAGTTCGTCAGTTGGGATGATGACATTCCCAATAGATGCCCTATATATGGAAAGTCATAAAATTCCATGGTTCCAAACCACCAACCAGATCATATCATCAATGATTTCCCAAGGTTAAAATATGGTGAATTCCCATGGCTAAAATGGTGACTTGAATGAAATATGATTGAAAACCAACCAGATAGGGGAAAATCATGGGAAAAATCATGGTAAAGCCACTGGGATTTTCTGTTCGCTTCAATCTTGTCATTGGCATCCAAAACATCTTTGCTTCCCTGGCCCATCAGTGATGCATGTGAATACATCTCTGCACTTTACATTTTGAGCCGGGATACTGCTGGGATTGGTGGCTTGCTGGAAATGACCGGGTTACAAGCAACACCCGTTGCCAAGATGAGCCTTTCTTTCATGTCAACATGTGGTGTGAGTTTATTGTGCCGATTTCTTTCCTCTCGAGGGATCTTGCCTTCCTTTTCATTACCATTTCTCTCACTGAATGTGAGTCAGTGAATTTTTGACCTTGGTATTGAATGCGATTGTTGAGTTCATAAAACTGAATGCCAGAACAGTTGCACATTTTGATTCAGTCAGCGTTCATCAGGCGCTGAGATTTGACATATACATACATGTATACTTTCTCCGGAATTTTTGATCAAGGTTGTGCCAGGTTGGTCTGACTTGACCATGGGAGTGCCGGCACCAAGCGGGGCTAAAAACGTACGCTCCTGCCCGCACCTGGCGACATTCCACACCCCCGGCTTGAAAAGAGGCGTGCTTCAGACTTCAGGCTTTTCACCCTGGTGATCTTCGCTGATTTGACCGGCGGACACGCGTGTGCTCCAGCTTCGGATTTCAGCGCTTCGTAGTCATCTTCATATTCATCTTCGTATTCATCTTCGTATTCATCTTCATTCTCTTCACGCTACCGTATTGACTATTCCATATTTTATTTGTCTCTGCGCTGTTTCTGCTAACGACTTCTATGCCCCTGCCACACAATGCGGTTGACTTCCTGCTGCTCATTTGTGGGAAATGGCTCGGCCAAGAATTTGGTCAGCATAGGTTGCACAGGGATGTTCAAAGTACATGCCATGATCTGACCCGCTTGCTTTGCAACTGCGTTTTTTCCAGGTTGGCAGACACACTGATAACTCGGAAATCCGTTGCCCATGACTGGAAACGCGTATGTGAGATTTTTTCACTTTGTATACAGTGGACCTATCCAGTGAACGGGAAGTCGCGAAGGGTGTGCCCACATATCGAGGCTATGCTATGTCTTTTCTGTATCTCTAGAACAATTCTCTGGCTTTTCAAGAACGCATCTACGAAGAGAGGGGTTGAAGTACTTCGGCTGCTAAAACCTGATTTCATACACCTCTTCCATGTGAGCTCGCATCCCCCATGCACAAACACGGCCCATGATTTCCTCAGCCTTCAGAGACAGGCGATTTTTCCGACAGGTAGTACGGATTTTTGCATGTACCAGTGGTTTTGTGAGCATTTTCGTTATACAGGAATTGCACAGATACAAAGACCAAGTGCCCCAAACACTGCTGGACCTGCAAAGCGTTTACATGAACACCTTTTATTGACGGTGCGCCGAAATTACTCTGAATCTGCAAAACTCCGCTACCGATTGGCGCGAAGACATCCATTGGATTTGTGTTGTTTTCTTGTTACTATGGTCAACAGTGAGCCTAGGGTTCGTGCTTGTGAATGGTTTGACATCAAGACCCACTGCCCTAATGCCAATGGTGTTCCCCCTAAAAAAGGTAGAAACCGGTCAAGGGTCCCAAGGCAAAGGCCCTGCCCGCACCTGCGCGAGAAGAAAGCTGTTGTTACATCAGTGTTTGAACAGGACTGTACATCTTTGCGGTTAGAAAAGTTAACAGCTTCCTTTCACCGGCGAATGCTCTTGGATGAGCGTCAGTCTACTGAAGATACTTCTGTGCCTTTCAGCCGTATGTATTTGGACACATTGCGATCAAACTTTGCGCTAACTGGTGTTCCTGGTCCTTTAGACATTTTTCTGCCTGAGCATAGACGACTTTGTGCGAAATGGCTCATCACGGCGAGACATGTGGATTGGGAGATGGTTGAGCAGAAGTGCAAGACACAGTTTCTGGCCCCAAAGCTTGCTGGACTTAAATCTCTTCTACACAAAAAGGCTCAGAAAGCCCTTCTTGAAAAACGCCTTCGTCAGTATTTGTTTTGGAAACAGCTTCCTGCAAGGCGCATTCATGCCAAAGCCCCTGATGCTACATGCAGAGATGCGCTACGGGCAGTGGTGTTCCGATGCATTAATACTTGTTCTTCCTGGACGACTAGCGAAAAGCACTGGATCCGCTCACAAGTTCGCATCCATACTGGAAAAACGATGTCTTTCAAAGGTCTTTGGAATCACGTGCGCTGCGCGCGGTCCGCAAGTACAAGTGTGGTATCTGAAACTTCGACGTCTTTCAAGCGTGAGGTTTTACTGGGGAAGAAAATGAGGAAGAGTGAAAAGAATTGGGATGTCCTTATTCGACCAAGCAAGACTGAAAGGTGTGAGGCCATTTGCAAGGCTGCTGTTGACGCCATGAAACCGGTTTGCACCTTGCCCTCGCGCGCTTGTGTGACTAGCACAGCCAAGGTGACTCTTGAGAGATCTACGGCGTACTGCCGAGAAGCACGTCGCAACCAGCTTTCTCAACGTGAGTACTCTGAATACACAAAGGATATGTCTTTTTCTGCTAAACATCTTGCCGTGGTTCCAGATGATAAAGAGCGAAAACATGCGTGGTATTTGACCCCAGGAGCGTATCAGTTATTGTGTATCCTTTTTGTACTTACGGCAAAGACTTGGTGTTTTTTGTCCACCTCCTGTGCTCATGCAAACAACTTGGTGGTGCGAAGAGTCCTTCACATGCTTGGCCCAGGGTTATCGACGAGACTAGGTATTTCTCCCTGCACCTGGCTTCTCCCATATGTCTATTGCACTATTAAGTCAAAATGCTTTTTGTCCGGTTGCAAAAGTGTGCGGATTTGTAAGGAAATTGGCCATAGCTGTGCTCGTAAGATCTGTTCCTATGTGAAGTGGCCTAGGCGCATTGTGTGGAAAAGGATTCACAGGTGTGCAGAACTCCTTGTCAAGGAAATGAGACCTGGTGCTGAAACTTGGGGTCTTCGTGATGCCGCAAAACGATTAAAAGACGGGTTGGCCTTCTTACAGGTTGGTGAAAATCCAAACTTATGTGCGCGGTGCTGTTGTAGGAAAAATGCCTTGACTGTTGTGGTTGCAGATGCTGGTCAGTTTTACGAAGAAGTGAGCTCAGAAAAAGCTTGTTTTGCATTGAGTAATATAGTCTTGGAGGCGCGGCTTGCAGGTTGGACGCACGTGGCAGTAGGCCGCAGAAAGCGAAGAAGAGCATTTTTGTCAACAAAACCCGGGGGCCAGAACAGTGCTTATTTCTGGTTTTCCCTAGAAGATATTCTTCGTGCTTTCTTCGGGGCTATGTGTGTGTCCTTGGTTTCGGTGGGGCATCTTGTTGCACAAATGCAAGGTTTGCCCATAGGGGGCTTAATGTCTAAAGTGGCAACATCTGCAGTTCTGGCTACAGAAGAGGAGGATTGGCTAAAAAATCAAGCTCGTCGCTTTGCGCATGGTTTCCCTTTTTCAGATCGCTCCTGGCCCTCCTGCTGCCTGCATTTGCGGTATGTTGATGATGTCCTTCTTGCCTCACGACTCCTGTGTCGCCACTGTATGTGCGAACTTTTGCCTATTGTTTACTGCGTGAACTTCAAAGTTGCTGCTCCGGACCGGTTTGTTACTTGGCTTGATATGGTTGTTGATTGTTTTACTGGTGAAATTTTCCCAAAACCCCGAAAGTTTTCTACACCCCCACCTTGGGGTACTTACCCTGTGCTTCTGCGATCACTAATTTTGGGCGCCCTTCTCCGTGCAGCTGAAGTGTCGTCAACCGACAGAGCGGTGCGTATTTATATGATGAACATCCTGGTTGGGTTGCTCGAAATTGGTTGGTCAAAACGGCAAATCTGTCAGGTCCTATTCACAATTTCTCGACCGCACCTCAAACAGCACATTTGGTTTCTGAGGAAAGCCATCCGCAGCCGTGAGTTTCTCCAATTTGCCAAGAAATAGGTGGATCTGTCCTCTTTGATTTGACTGGCCCCTGCTCATGTTTCCCAAGCTTCGTGGCTTGAGCCTGCTTACCTTATTGGCATGCAGCTTTGTAGTCGCGGCCGATGCTACGTGGAATTCAAATGAGTGGACAGGCTGGTCTTCCAAAGGCTCCCAGGGGTATGACAAAGGATCTTACCGGTCAGGGAAAGGTTGGCAGAAAGGAAAGCCCTCCTCATCTTCTTCTTCGTCTTTTTCTTTTGAGCGTGGCTTTCTGGCTGGCCAACAGATGGCACAATCACAGTCAGAGGGGCCTGAAAGACGGCGACGTCGGCGCCACCGCCGTCACACAGCTGGGGACAACTCTGATACGACGACACCTGAGACCACCCCTGAAAAGCCAAATCACAAGATGAAAAAGATGAAAGAGGAATTACATGAACTCCGCAGTTTTCGTGATCAAATGAAAAAAGCAGAAGAAGAACAGGCTAAGGCCCAGCAGCTGAAAGATCTGGAGGCAAAAATGATGGAGCGCCTTCAACTGGCAACCGGATCTTCGGCACGTGCAGCGGCCTCGGTGACGCCAGTGAGTGTGACTGAAGGGACAAATCATGAGTTACAACCACTGCAAAAACGCTTGTCGCGGAAGCTTTTTCAAGATTTCGATGCTGAGTTCAACCCTCAGTCCTGGGATGACATTGTTTCCATGACGGAGAGCCTCACAGGAAAGCAAACTAGTGATTTTTTGCACAAAGAGAACCTCGGAGTGCCCCGTGGATTGAAAGATCGCACGGCTGCTGTACTCAGTTTCGTGAGGGATGAGCTGGGCATGTCTCCACCGTCGCTCTGAATTTCCTCTCATGGGCTATCAGTGGCCTTGCCCACCCGAGTGACTGGAAGTTTGGCGATTTGTGCTTTTGTGGCGGGGTTTCTGTTCGCTTCAATCTTGTCATTGGCATCCAAAACATCTTTGCTTCCCTGGCCCATCAGTGATGCATGTGAATACATCTCTGCACTTTACATTTTGAGCCGGGATACTGCTGGGATTGGTGGCTTGCTGGAAATGACCGGGTTACAAGCAACACCCGTTGCCAAGATGAGCCTTTCTTTCATGTCAACATGTGGTGTGAGTTTATTGTGCCGATTTCTTTCCTCTCGAGGGATCTTGCCTTCCTTTTCATTACCATTTCTCTCACTGAATGTGAGTCAGTGAATTTTTGACCTTGGTATTGAATGCGATTGTTGAGTTCATAAAACTGAATGCCAGAACAGTTGCACATTTTGATTCAGTCAGCGTTCATCAGGCGCTGAGATTTGACATATACATACATGTATACTTTCTCCGGAATTTTTGATCAAGGTTGTGCCAGGTTGGTCTGACTTGACCATGGGAGTGCCGGCACCAAGCGGGGCTAAAAACGTACGCTCCTGCCCGCACCTGGCGACATTCCACACCCCCGGCTTGAAAAGAGGCGTGCTTCAGACTTCAGGCTTTTCACCCTAAAGCCACTGTAGATGGAGGTGTAGTTAGTTCGCGGACATGATCTAAGTATTGCTGGATCTTCCGAACCGATGACACCAGAGAGTAAAATGCTTTTATCTTTTATCTATTTTCTATCTCTTGTGTATATATCCATACTTTTTTTTTGAGATACCATCTGGTTATTTAACAGTTCGCCATGGAAAATCACCATGCTATTAAGAACGGTAAACTATCTATTTCTATGGGCCATCTATACCATGGCTATGTTAAATAACCAGGTTGGGTAAATCACCATTAAATCCCATTAAATCCCATTAAACCACCATTTTCCTATCGTTTTCCTATGGTAAATCGCCATGTTTCCATCAAAAAGGACCTGGAACGGCACAGGATCTGCTCCGTCACCAGCGTGGTCTCCCAGGGATCCCGTACTCGTTGTACAGCTCGAGGTAAGAGAACTTCACCAGGTGCTTCTGGCAGAAATGCTTTGGCAGAAAATTTCAACAATGGGATATTCCTATGGGTCAGTTCAGAAATGGGAACATCATGGGATAATGGGAATATGTATACCCTCCGGTAAACAGCCACATAACGAACTGGAAAATCACCATGCTATTAATGGAACAATCCACTATTTATCCACTATTTCTATGGTCATTTTCAATAGCTATTTTGACATAACCAGAGGCTAATTTATGTCCTTCGCAAAAAAAAAAACTGATCGAACCGAAATGGAACGTTTTTTTTGAATCAAACCCTTGTAAATTTCAAGTAGCATGTAGTTAATTGATACAAAATGGTAATACCACCGTGGCGCTTGTTTCTTCATATGAGCAAAGAAAAAAACCTGATCCCATCCGAAATTTCTAGAATGGTTTGTGGCCGGAATCAATTGCAACGATCCAAAATAGAATCCCACAAATAACTGATGAGCCAAAGCAGGTCTTCTTTAGTGGCTGATGGCATATGGGTAGGGGGAAAGCGAGGACCAAAGGAATGCGGATGCTGAGCACAAAAAATGAGCCGTCAGTGTGCCAGTGCAACACATCTACTGCTGGTTGATCTTTTCACCAAAGCTTTGGACATAGAGCCATATGGCTGTGTGTGTGTGTGTCAAACTTCTGTACCCTTGGTGAACACCAAAATAACAAAATGGTTGATAAATGGAGGTTCATCCTCCTAAAGATGGAACTATATATATATATGTGTGTGTGTATACATAATCAATCATAATGCTATGGTCTATATGTCCCCTCACTTGGAGCTGGGTTTGAATGCTGGTTCTGGTTCTGGAATTTTTGGGCCGTCCTTTCACAAACAGATACAAACGTTGCATCCATTTGGACATGACGAAAGACCCTGAAGATAAACTATTATTGGTATGGAAACTGACATACATATTACATACCATATATATATATATACATATTTATTTGTGTATATATTTCCATACCAATATTGTATATACTTCCCGGGCCAACTGACACTTCACCGAAGAGAAACTCTCCATGGGGATGGTCCCCATTTGGATCATCCAACGAATCGGAAGTGGATGGTTCCCAGTCCCCTTCTTCGGGGATCCCGTAAATAGGTGAACTAAGCCCAGGTACAATAACCACTTGTAGCTGGTTGGTGGTTTTAACATGTTTTAACCATCTTGAAAAATGATGGAGTTCGTCAATGGTTGGTGGATGACATCCCATATATGAAATGGAAAATGAAATTCAGGTTTGAAACCACCAACCAGCCATTGGCTATCATCAATATAAATCAGCTCTAGATCTCAATGAAATCCCCATCTTGCTTGGTGAAATCACCATTTTCCCCATAGTTTTTTCTCATCAAAATCGTCCCGGGATGATCCTCCCAGCCCTCCAATCCGGTCCGCACCTCCCCCTTGGACCGCAGGAGGCGAAAAATGCCCTCTGCCACACGGGGGACCAAGCCCTGTTGCTCCTGGTCATCAGCTCCATGGCTTGCGTTGACCGGAAAAAAATGCCGGGTGAGTGAGATTTCCAAGTGCCATGTTTGATTAAAGGAGGGCAAATCAGTCGTTCTTGTGGGTTCAACTATATACATTACGTTACGTTACGTTGCGTTGCGTTACGTTACGTTACATTTTATTACATTGCATTGCATTACGTTACATACATTGCATTGTTATACATACCATATACGGTATATATAATATTGGAAGTCCCACAAATAACTTGTACTTTTTAGACGGTGATCCCGAAAACTGTAGCGTGCACTTTGATCTCCATGTGTTTCCCGTATGTTTGCCGCTTCCACCATGGTTGATTGATATTGATTGCTGCATGGATTGTATGGTCGTTTTAAAGCCCCCTTTTCTCGTTGTTTCAAACATCCCAATTTTTGCTGGTTGACCTATGGCTAGTTGGTTCATGAGCTTCTTGCTGCTTGTATGTTTTAATGAAATGCTGGCACCTAATGTCACATCCCATGGTAGCGAGCCTGGGTTTGCTTGTACATTATCGACGTATCGGCTCGGAGGATGATGAAAAATTGGGGGAGAAAAAAGCGTAGAACCGAGCCGATTGGGGATTGAGACCCCTTGGTTTTTGTTTAGTTAGTTGGTACCCGGCCTGGTAAACATAGAAAAAGCTATTGAAACTGGCCCAGTCGAAATAGCGGATTTGCCCATTGAAAATGGTGTTCCATCGTTTTTCGTAGGTTTGCCAGAGGGTAAACCCAACCATCCTGCCCTTGTCCTGGTATGTTTTGAAAGATCTCCCGCGAATGGTAAGAATCAATCAATGAGTTGTGGTTTGTCTGGGCCTAGTATAATTCTCAAATCAAACACCTGCCCCAGTTTTGGAATTATTCCGCAAATGATATCTTGAGCACTTTTGCAGAACTGCTGATTCATCACTCAAAACCCAACAAAATCAGGATGTTCACAAATTTATCAATACCCTCTGGTAAACAGCCACATAACTATGGAAAATCACCATGCTATCAATGGGAAAATCCACTTCGACTGGGCCATTTTCAATAGCTTTTTGTATGTTTACCAGAGGGTAAATCCATGGATTTTCTTCATCAGAATCCAGAATTCCCCAAAATCTTCCCCATAAATCATCACGTCGTCATTTCGGTCGTCGTCCAGGTCGGTCACGTCCTGTTGCCGGGCACCGAAGATGGTGTGGCTCTTGCCGCTGCCACAAGGCCTGGCTCCGGTGCTGCGGTGGCTCAGCGATGGTGAAATTGGATGGCTACCCTCTGGTTATGTCAAAATAGCCATGGAAAATGGTCCATTTATAGATGGTTTACCTATTAAACATGGTGATTGTCCATGGCTATGTTAAATAGCCAGAGGGTATTGGATGGTGAAATTGGATGGTTAATACTAAATTTCTAGACTTGGATGGTTAATACTACAAATCCCCAATGAAATTGGATTGTTAACACATGGTTAATACCTAAATAAAAATAGACAAGAAAATATCTGTGCTTTTGGCTAGGTCTTTTTCAAATGTTGACGATCCATTTTTGTGGATACAGCACTTTTTCTTAGCAGCCCAAATGAGGAATGGCACCACAACATCCCCAGGTTGCAACACGGCGACCAACAGCTTGGTGTTTGCCATAGCCAAGAAGAAATCTTCGCAGCTAGATGTTTTAGGGTCGACTGACCCAACCTCGAATCGACTACACGAAAAATCATCCCTAAAATGGAGAAGTTCTGATGCTACAGACGACTCCAAATCCCCATGTCTTAGAGAATCATCAGCTTTCAATCCCCACAAATCAGTAAATCCCCACAAATCATCGGTAAAATCCCATAAACTCCCCATGAAATCTCCATGAAATCTCCGTTTTTTGCCAGTTTCCGGGTCTCAAGATTTGGACCCCCGCCCGCAAGCAATCACGCAGCCATGTAGACCTGGCTGTGGATGTTGGTAACGCAATCATAGATCATCCCCAAGTTATCACCATCATGGGTGGTAAAACCCAAAATATGGTCAGTTTATTATTGCCTTACCAACACTAGTTCGATTACCATGGCTTCAAAAAACCACTTGACGAAGTGGTGCATACATCTCAGTAAATCCCTGGTGAAAAGATGTGGATCGATTCACGTGCGATTGGATCAATGGGAACCGGGTGATCGGCCTCCGCATTCCGCTGGATGCAGACTAGGTGGGTTTGTTCCTGTTATATGTTTCTTATAATGTTTGTCGAGTTGTCCGAGATTGCATTTTTATGAGGTCTTAAATTTGGTATGGCATGGAAGCGGAACTTTCCCAATCGGTTGAAACAGACTCTCTATGCATGTCAGAAATGCACCTTGGATAGTGATGTATAATGCTGCAAATATTCTAATGTTTCTACAGAAGTTTGCACAATATATATATATATATATATATTATATTATAGTAAACAGCTGGCACATAGAATATTAAAAATTTTAACGTGCCACTAAGAATATGGAAAATACATAGCAAAACCTTTTCCTGGAATGTCATCCACATAGAATATTTATCCACATAGAATATGGGTGTGTACATATATTATATAGGGGTATATATATATATATTTACATTATCCAAATCTCATTCAAATGGTCTCCATAAGATAGCACCAATGGCATAAACGCATAAATATACGAACCGAAGCCGATACGTATTAATTATATACGTTGCTGAGTTCATCATTTGACCATGTAAGCTCTCTTCCCAGAAAATTAGATATTTCCGTAGTACCAAAACAACAGATTACAATGGATTTGTTGACATTTGTGATGCACTTAAAATATGATGGAACATAAGGAACATACATCAAACTAATTCAAATGGTCTCCATAAGATAGCACCAATGGCATAAACGCATAAATATACGAACCGAAGCCGATACGTATTAATTATGTTGTTGAGTTCATCGTTAGACCATGTAAGCTCTCCTCCCAGAGAATTAGATATTTCTGTATTACCAAAACAACAGATTACAATGGATTTGTTGACATTTGTGATGCACTTAGAATATGCTGGGAATTTAAGGAACATACATCAAACTCATTCAAACGGTTCCTCACTTAATAGTTCCAATGACATAAACGCATAAATATAAGAACCGAAGCCGATACGTATTAATTATTGTTGAGTTCATCGTTAGACCACTTTAGCTCTTCCCAGAGAATTAGATACTTCCGTATTACCAAAACAACAGATTACAATGGATTTGTTGACATTTGTGATGCACTTAGAATATGCTGGGAACATAAGGAATATACATCAAACTCATTCAAATGGTCTCCATAAGATAGCACCAATGGCATAAACGCATAAATATACGAACCGAAGCCGATACGTATTAATTATATACGTTGCTGAGATCATCATTTGACCATGTAAGCTCTCTTCCCAGGGAATTAGATATTTCCGTAGTACCAAAACAACAGATTACAATGGATTTGTTGACATTTGTGATGCACTTAGAATATGATGGGAACATAAGGAGCACACATCAAACTCATTCAAATGGTCTCCATAAGATAGCACCAATGGCATAAACGCATAAATATACGAACCAAAGCCGATACGTATTAATTATGTTGTTGAGTTCATCGTTAGACCATGTAAGCTCTCCTCCCAGAGAATTAGATATTTCTGTATTACCAAAACAACAGATTACAATGGATTTGTTGACATTTGTGATGCACTTAGAATATGCTGGGAATTAAGGAACATACATCAAACTCATTCAAACGGTTCCTCACTTAATAGTTCCAATGGCATAAACGCATAAATATACGAACCGAAGCCGATACGTATTAATTATATACGTTGCTGAGATCATCATTTGACCATGTAAGCTCTCTTCCCAGGGAATTAGATATTTCCGTAGTACCAAAACAACAGATTACAATGGATTTGTTGACATTTGTGATGCACTTAGAATATGCTGGGAACATAAGGAACATACATCAAACTCATTCAAATGGTCTCCATAAGATAGCACCAATGGCATAAACGCATAAATATACGAACCGAAGCCGATACGTATTAATTATATACGTTGCTGAGTTCATCATTTGACCATGTAAGCTCTCTTCCCAGGGAATTAGATATTTCCGTAGTACCAAAACAGCAGATTACAATGGATTTGTTGACATTTGTGATGCACTTAGAATATGATGGGAACATAAGGAACATACATCAAACTCATTCAAATGGTCTCCATAAGATAGCACCAATGGCATAAACGCATAAATATACGAACCAAAGCCGATACGTATTAATTATGTTGTTGAGTTCATCGTTAGACCATGTAAGCTCTCCTCCCAGAGAATTAGATATTTCTGTATTACCAAAACAACAGATTACAATGGATTTGTTGACATTTGTGATGCACTTAGAATATGCTGGGAATTTAAGGAACATACATCAAACTCATTCAAACGGTTCCTCACTTAATAGTTTCAATGACACAAACGCATAAATTCTAATGTCTTTACAGAAGTTTGCACAATATATAATATAATATAATTTAATATAATACAATATAATATAATATAATATAATATAACAATAGGGTGCCCCCCCGAAACCATCTGGTTGGTGGTTTTAACCATATTGAAAAATATGAAAGTCAATGGAATGGGAAGGATTATCCCATATATGACATGGAAAATGAAATTCATGTTTGAAACCACCAACCAGCCATTGGTTTCGCCCAAAAATGACCCACATCCACTGGAACCACGCCTTCCACGGCATTCTGCACCATCTGCTGACCGAAGAGGTTGTAGACCGAGGCCTATGGAGACTTCGCCAAGGCAGATAGCCTCTGGTAAACATACAAACAGCTATCGAAAATGGTCATTTATAGTGGATTTTCCCATTAATAGCATGGTGATTTTCCATAGTTTTTTGTATGTTTACCAGAGGGTATCTGGAAATAGAGAAACTCTTCTGTAATTGAGATTTTGATTGTCAGAAAAAAACATCTCAACCTATGGATTCAGAAATCCTGCCGCAGTCTTATGGCCAACCTTCGATAACAAAATATGAATGCTGGAGTCTGATTTTTTCAAAAAAAATGGCAGCAAAATGGCAGGTCAACCAATCGAAATCCAAGGTTTCTGCGGGAGTTTAGTTTATCCATTCAATTTGCAACTACTGCGTGGCGCGCAAATTCTGCCGATCTTCATGCCTTACATCTTCAACAGATAACCCAAAAAATGGGTCACTTCAAATAGGATAGAGACCGGTCATAGGACCACATCATCTGGAGTTGCTTGGAAACGACCACTGAAAAGACATGGAACTGGCAACCTTGGTGACCACAAGACATGGAAATACAAGACATAGAAACGGCTATGGGTCAAAACCTTGTATCCCTGGTGAACATCAAAATAGCTGGGATTTATGGATGTTCATCCCATTAAAACCTGTATTTTATAGCTATTGATCCATGGCTAATCACCTACGATATCTTCACTGCGAAATAGTTTCCGCCTGCGATCCTCGTCCTGAGATTACCCAGTCCTTGGAGTAGCTGCCCAAAAGGGCGTTTTGATGTGCTAATTGAGTTCATGGCAATATACCGGTAATCACTAGCTATGGTGTTGCCATGGTTGATATACTTATTATTGAAATAGGTGATACTAGTAATACGGTCAATGATGTTGTAGTACTATGGCAATACTTGCAGCTATATCATTCATTTTAGTGATATTCGTCTGTATTTCAATAACTAATTTGCCATTGTTATCATGCATATTTCTAGTGATGATATTAGCGATAATTCGGGTAAATTGTAATAATTCACTAACCTGGACTTGAAATGTGCAAGGACATTTTGGGATTGTTACCCCAGTCCTGACCATCATTCCAGTGACATCACAACATGAGGTCCTTATATTTATCCAGAACAACAACAGTGCTAATATTAGTAATAATAATGATAATATGGATATCAATGATGATCACGCGCGGACTCTCTGTCGGTTCGCAACGCCACAGCATCAGCAGTGGCGGTTGTGAGACATGAGCAAATCAGGTCCGCATAGGCCGGGCAAGATCGTTTGGCCAACGGATTGGCCTGCGTCTGGTGAAACCACGCAGATTCTGTGCAATCAGTTCTGCAACTCCAGCATTGACTGCCATAGTTAGGCCGTCAAGTGGAGTGTACACAGCTAAAATGGTCAAGCTGATGCCCTTGCACCAGCTGATACCAAGGGAAAAACACCTGTCCAGAGCCCTCAGAAAGCTTTTGGCTAATCGAACAAGTGCGCCCAAGTTCGGCTCGTAGAAGTTGAATGCATTTCTGTCTTGCCAACATCCTGGTCGATCAGTGTGGGGTGTAGGTGTCCACCGTCTCCCGTCAACTGCAAGGAACGTGGCAATCTCCAGAAAGGACACTTTGCAGATCACTGTGTCGGCGTCCTCCTCCCATGGTGTGAGAGCCTGGACAAAGTTGTTGACGAAGGTTCGCCCAAAAGATTCATAAAGCATCACCCATCCAGCGTCAGATGACTCCGGAAGCCCACGAAATGGCATACAACTGTCGGGGCACCCTCTATGAACCCTCCAGTCGCCAAAATCATCTTCCCCATCAACATCGTGGGGATGCTCACTTCTCTGTTCGACCTTCTGCTTCTCCACAATGTCCAGGTGAAGTTCTTGTAGTGCACATAGATCTGCAAGCTCACCTTCATGGTGTGCCCAAAGTCGTTGATGAAGAGCAAGTAGATCGCGTCCATGTAGTCGCATGGCCATATTGGCTTCTCGATCAGCCCGGTCGTTCCACCTGGCTGCCCAATTGTCGACATCTGCATCCTGATGACTCCATCCCACATGACTGGGAATGTGTTGAACATGTAGTCGCCCTTCACATAGACGAAGTAGCCCCTGCAGTTCCATCCAGTCATCTTCGCAATGACCATCTGGAATGTCCATGGCATCATGTAAGAGGCGAGAGAGTCCTTCCGCCCCAAAGGTGCTGTCCGTCCAAATGGTCGTTTCTCTCTGGCTAACCAAGGCATATTCAACCGCGGCAATGATTGCACGAAGTTCGGCTCGGTCATTGTCTTGTCCAATTCCACCAAGTGCACCCTTTGCCACGCAGGCATCGGCTGTGGCACTCACTACTGCCCAAGCTGCCAATTGATAAGAACGACGTCGACTTCCATGACATGAGCCATCTGTAAAAAGATGACAATGTTGAGGTTCAAATCTGCATGGGACTCTGATCCATTGATCCTCTGCTTGACAGACCAGGCCCTTGAAGGGAATCCAGAAGGGATCCGCAGGAGATGAATCCGCTTGGCCTTTGAAAAACTCGTCCATTTCTGCAAAATCTGTGCATACTGCAGGTAGATCTGATGGCGTCCTGGACACGAAGTACATCTGTGCTCCGTGGAATCCTCACCCCCGCATTGATTGCATGTGGTAACCTTGCCCAGGTCATACTTGACGTGTTGGGAGGGCTCCACAAAGGTGCCATCTTGCAAACGAAAAATAGAGCTCAATCCATGTGGCTTGATCTTGTTCCTGGCTTGCATGACGACTCGATGGTCAATGCCCTGTAGTCCTTCCAAATCTTTTCTATGGCTAACCTCCAGGTATACCTTCCACATCCAAGCGTCCTTGACCAAGTCATACAAGGTTTTCTCATTCATCTCCAACCAATCATGCCAAACTCCATGAGCGTCTGCCAATCTGGGAACCTCCACTGTCCATCGTAGATAGTGACATGTTTCCAACAACTTGGCAAAAGGGCCTTGTTTGGACTGACCCTCATAGTTTTCCATCTACCTTTGCCAAACATTGACAAAGAAAGGTCGCTTGGCGGCAATCCTACGGAACGTGGTAAAAACTGCCCAAACTTGATAAAATCCAGGATCACATTGTTCGTGACATAATAGGCTAAGGCGTAAACCAGGTGATGCCCCTGCCATCTGAAATCCCAGAGCTTTCATGGCTTCCGTACGGAGCCCCTTGATGTGAGTCCAACCCAAAGTGCAAATAGCAACCCCATAGAATGCCTTCGGCCAAAGAGCTTGACGAAGGAGGCGTTGTTTCATCCATGAGGCAGCTACACAACGTTTGAGTTTTGGCCACATAGTCTCCAGCCCCGCAAAGCGTTGCACCTGAACTTGAATGTTTCTGGATTTTCCATAGAGGAGCTGTGCTCCCAAATCTTTGGCTGATTGTACGACATCCCATCCAAGAACCTTGGCTTCCTTTCTCCCAGTAGCCTTCGTGGTCCACAGATACGATTTGTCCTCATCCAATTCCAGTTTCCACATCTCTGTCCACGTTTGCATAGTGAGTACTCCATGTTGAAGACTTCCCAAATGGCGGGCAAGTAGTTCAATGTTATCCACATACGAGATTGTGTCACATCTCTTGGAGAACTCATTCATGTAGCTATGAAGTGTTAACCCCACTATCAACATGGCCACGCATGACAGAGAACAACCTTCAGGAAATCCATGGTTGGAGAGTACAGCTTCGCTGATCTCCCCACGCACCATGAAGCGTCTTTCAGTTGTGGATAGGAAGTGTTTCCATAATTGGAGTGGCCGTAATGGTAGTCCCAAGTGCAAGGCAATTTCGAAGATTGGATCCCGGGGAAGTGATTCAAAAGCTTTTCGTATGTCGGTGACAAAGCCCATGAGCTCTTCTCCCTCTTGTATGCTTACTTCCACCAACCCTTGCAGAAGCATCCAGACTTCCGCCACTTCTCTACCTGGCATGAAGCCCAGCTGCTTGTCGTCAACCAGCTTGGACAGGAAATGCAGAAACTTTTGAGCCCGCAATGAACCCCATGACCGATAAATCATAGAATATATGATCACTGGTCTATACTCGTTGACCTTGGTGGCCCCCTCCTTTTTCTCAAGCGAGTGCACAAAGCCTGTTCTCCACACTTCAGGCCAATATGTGCACTGTTCAAATTGGTTCAGGATGTCCACCAGTTCATTCTGGAAAATCTCAGGCATCTTTCGCAAGTCATGGTGACCAATTCCGTCAGGCCCACGAGCAGCTCTTGGTCCATATCTTCTGTTGATGTCAGCCCATGCTTCTGTAGAAATATCCACATGTTCCAAGCGTCCTGAGGGCAGATATGCTTTGGCAAAGTTGACAATCCGATCCCGTTCAGCTAGTTGCGGAAGTGTGTCTTTCCACCATCTAGGCTTCCAGAAGTCAATGAGCTGCTGCTGAATCTGTTGCGTCAGAGTGGCATGTTCCACGATTTCACCTTCTCGGCCTTCCTGTAACAGCCATTTTCCTTCAAGGGTGATGACTTTACCATCTTGATCTCGGATAGGTATCACCTGATCCCCAAGTTTGAGAGAGGCAGGCAAGGTGATTTCATGAGCAATGTCCACGTGCACTTTTGAGGTTTCATCATGGTTGTCCAGGATGGTGACATAAGAGGTCTTCTCCAAGTAGTTGACCCCTCCTTTAGGCTCTTTTCTCACCACCTCGAAGATCTTGTTGGTGTTGGCTTGGTACTGAGCTATCAGAAGCTTTTTGCGCTGTCTGTTGTGCCAGGCCTCAAAATTCCGATAGTTGAATTGGAAATCTTCGAAGACAGCTTGGCAAAACGCTGCAGAGGGAGGTTCTGTAGGAAATATTGTGACCAAGCCCGCTATAGCTGCGTGGGTCTGGTTTCCCACTACTTCTCGAAGGTGCCGTCAAAGCCTTTGGCTTTGCGAATTGCCCGCCACAAGGAACTGCGATATTCAATTGCATCGGCAGTGTCCTTTCCAGCTTTGGTGGCATGGACCATACTTTGTAGTCGTCGAAGCTGTTGAAACCAACGATGAACGGCCCGGCCAACAAAATCCGTTCGCATTTGGACTTCTCCTGGTCGAGATGGTTTGAGGAGAGGACAGTCAACCTCTCGTTCAAGAGGTCCTTTTTGTTGGCAACGTCCACGGCAGGGTGTTGGTAGACTGCCAATCTTCTTGTCAACGTAACCATCAAAACTGTTCTCATACGATCTAGCCCATTGTTCCACTCGATGGTCAACCCCCGGAATTTCCACCGGCAGGAGGTCATGCTTGGCTTGTCTCCAATTGTCATACTGAACTGCATCCCAAGGTATTTCAGCAGGAAGTGGCCACACCCTTTGTGGCAGTCTGACAATTGGTATGTCCAGCTTGACTCCAATGCTGCGAAGATCAGCAAACATTTTCCATCCGTTGAAGCCAGTAACAAATGGAACTAGTTCGGGCGATGGAAATGACGATAGGTCATCAGATATTCCTGTCCCCGAAGTTCATGGGCAAGCTCTTGAGCATCTCGCCAACCCGCTCATTGGAGCACTTCCCACCCACGAAGCAGTGTTAAATCATGGTTGAAGTCACCTACAATGTATCTAGGTCCACCTCGTGAGAGACCAACTTCTCGAACAATGTTGTCCATCATGATGTTGGTGTCTCGTAGAGCGTTTGGCCAGGAAGGACTCTTCGGCCAGCCATAGATAGTGGCCCCCAAGATTCCAAAAGGCCCATAGAAGCTCTGAACAACTTGCGCCCGACCAATATTGTACTCTCCATTGTCCCACAGGCAAGACACTGCTCGCGTGGTCCAGTCTGACATGGCTAAGACTCCTGCCCAGGTACCCGCAGAAGTTGAACGTGCACGGAGAGGTAGTGGGGCACCGCAAATTGTAGTTCTCTGCCCTGTTCTCGTGCTGCTGCCCCAAGCATATCATATATGGTTTCATGTAATGTTCCATCCCCCCGTCATCCCATGCCATCGGCCGACCATCCAGCTGGAATCCAGACCCAAATGCTTATCAGAGTTGATGAATATGAACTTAATGATATTTGATCACCTTGAATTCTTTCGCCACGAAACAATGCTTGCTGGCCACGTCTGACCTGGATCGTCGACAAATCTGGCTGTAGGTCTACCAAAATGCGCGCGCAGGCGCAGGTCCGCAACTTTCAAACTTTCCTGCTCCCAGGTTACAAGTCAACATACGTGCGAACATCAATTTATGTAAATTGTATCGACTTATACTTGCTTGCTATAAATTCTCTAGGTTGCAAACTGGGGCGGCCAAGCTCTACTTGCGGGTCATCCGCTGACTCTTCCACCGAGCCTCCGCACACTGGCCCAGCGTCTCAGAGTCAGGTGACCCAGGCTCACAAAGGAGCCCCGTTGCGGGTGAAACTATGCACACGTCCTGCTGGCCTGAATTCGCAACTCAGTGATGATATTTAGTAAAGTATGGCTGAGAACAGTGATGTTCGTGGTTATAGATTGAGGTTATGTGTTAGCCTGTAAAGACCGTACTTCTGAATCTGGAAAAATGATCGACTTCATCTTTCTTTCGCCACGAAACAATGCTTGCTGGCCACGTCTGACTTGGATCGTCGACAAATCTGGCTGTAGGTCTACCAAAATGCGCGCGCAGGCGCAGGTCCGCAACTTTCAAACTTTCCTGCTCCCAGGTTACAAGTCAACATACGTGCGAACATCAATTGGTAACGTCGTCATCATCATCATCAACAACATCATCATCATCATCAATCATCATTATCATCAATGCTAATTGGTTTATTCATCATTATGATATTGGTAAGGGAACCGATGAAAGTAATAATCGCAAATCGTTAGCACAAATAGCGATCCTATTATTTCACAATGATGAATTTCCTGCCCTCTGGTAGACTAACAGTTTGCTATTGAAAATGGCCATAGAAAGTTCGTGGATTTACCCATAAAAACGGCGGTCTTCCATAGCAAACTGTTAGTTTACCAGAGGGCAACATGGTAATATCATGGCTATATATATGGGGATATAATGGCAATATCAATGGGGATTTCTTACATGTAATTGTGGAATTCGTCGCCAGAAAAAGAAACCTCAAGACATCGCCAGTTGGGTGTCCTATCCAATTGATATACCATAAAAATGGGATAATAAATGGGCTATCAATGTTCGTGGGTTAATGGGATGATCATCCACTCATCATACTACCCTTTGGTAAACATACAAAAAACTATGGAAAATCACCATGCTATTAATGGGAAAACTCACTATAAATGGCAATTTTCCATAGCAAACTGTTAGTTTACCAGAGGGTATTTTTCATCACAATGATGAAAAATCCTATCCAATTAACAGTTTGCGACATAGAAAATGGCCATAGTTATGCCATCGTGATTTGCCCATCAAAAATACGGTGGTTTTCCATAAGTCACCATCTGGTTATTTAACAGTTCGCCATGGAAAATCCACCCATGCTATTAATAGGTAAAGCATTAAACCATCTATTTCTATGGGCCATGGCTTCCATGGCGAACTGTTAGTCATAATCAGAGGGTATCCAACAAAAACCCATCATAACACCCTTCCAAGAAGCGAATTCCCAGGTCCGGGGCCAGCTCCTGGAACGTGATTCCGGAATTGTCCGGTCTCTGTTGGATTTTTTGGAACGGGATGACATTTTCCGGTGACATATTGAAGAAACATATATATATATATTTATATAAACATCTAGTCACTAAAGGTTTGGTTCAAGCCTAGCACCCCCCGCTCCGTGCTTACTTGTTCCGACCTTAGCGGGTTGCCATTGCTTCTACCCGCGGGATCTGACTTCTTTGCAAAGGCTACATTTCGGCATTTTGGTTATTTGCGATTTGGGCTTCACCTCTGCTGTCTTCGGACCACTGGTGAGTGGATTTCAGTGATTTGCAATTCGATCTATTTGATATTGTTTTGTTACCTCAGCTGTCGTTGGACCTTTGGTGACACACTTTTACATTTAATTTCACCTCTTTCTTTGGTATCAACCTGACATTTACTGCATTGGCTTGCCCTGGTTGTGTCTCTTGGTGCCAAAGTTTGTCGAGCAGGTAATTTCCATTCGCTTCTGCCGGTGAGCGTTTCATCGGGGTTGTCTACTGGCGAGCCTGTTTATGTGCAGTTTCCTCCACGTGTTTCTGGGATTCATTGTCCTTTTTACATTCATTAGGGACCACGCCGCTCAGATCAACTACACGCCGGAAGGATCGCAGAGACAGAGCCAAAGCCAGGAGAAATTGGTTTTTACACAAATGGGGTTGGATTTCATTAACCAAGCCTGCTTTGGGAAAGATTTGGAAGATTTTGAGCCGACATCACAGCAGAGATCATTTATTCCTTACCAACATTATCAAAGCAATGAATCCAGAAGAAGAAGATCCCAACGAAATGTACTACCCATGGCGATGCAGCTGTGGGCGCATCAACAAAAAGTGGGCGACAACATGTGCCATTTGCTGGGCGTCGTGGACAGAGGGTACTCGTCACCCTACTCGACCCAAGACCCAGGAATGGGAGGGTTACTCCTGGAAAGACTGGGAGGACGACAAGAGCTGGACATCCAGCAGGTCAGCCAGCCGGTCCTCTACCAAGTATCGACCGGATGGCCGCGACGTCCAATCAGCAACAGCCTATCAAAAAGGGCAAAGGAAAGCACAAGGGAGCTGGAAAGAAAGGAGCTGTGAAAGGGAATTTCCAAGGACAGAACACCCAAGCGGAGATGGCATCACCCTTCCAGTCGGGAGAGGGCTTTGCGCCTTGGGCACCAATGGATACCTCGCAGTTTGGGCTTATCTCAGCACCCCCTGTCAGTCCCTTTGCAAATCAACTACCAGTCAGCACAAGCAACGAAAAGCAGGAATTCCTCGACCATCTTCGCAAGGCATATCCGGATCCAACGACCATGCCGGAAGAAACCAAGCAATTCATTGCCAAGACAGAGCAAGAAACAGGGAGGATGGGAATCAAGAACCTGCATCAAGCTACCAAACATTTGGGGAAGGTGAAGAAACACCTGGGCGAGGTCACCGACCAGCGCAGAGCGCATCGGTCACTGTGGATGGCCCATCTCTCAAGTGGTATCAAACTTTGGGAGAAACAATTAGAAGATTTCCGAAAACATCAATCGATGTTGACAGAATTGGCGGGCAAAGCCAGATCGGAAATTACATCCACCAGCCGAATGATCCAACAGCTGAGCAGTGCTACGGCTGGGAGTTCGCAACCTCCTCCTCAGACGTCTCAGCCGGAGGCCGAGGATTTGTCAGAAGATCATATAGACAAAGAAGAGGAAGCTTTACGGAAGCAGCTGCAGGGTGTGCTTCAAAATTGCGCCTCTTCTTTGGGGCCGGATCTGGACACCCAGAAGGTCATCGAAGTCCAGGAAGAAGAAGCACTGGAAGACGATTCCAAGCCTCCAAAGCGACAGCGCTCATTGGAGCCATTTGCGCCTTCCAGGCAACAGTGAGTAGTGGCCGTGTTGATGAAGTTCTGAAGAATTCATGGCACGAGGCCGGCACTGTGAGGTCCACTGCTTCAATCGCTGAGGCCTATCAGTTGGGAATTGAATCACCTGGTGCAGCATGCGATTGTTGGGACCACCTTCCTAGCCAAATGCTATCATGGACTCATTCCATCATGGAGGAATTGAAGTATGTTAGTCCATTCCAAGCTAGTTTGATCGCACTAAACCTGCAATGGGAAGTTGGTGTTGATCTCCTTCACTCCCATTCTACTTCGAATCCAATTTCCTTGGCAGTTGATCCGATTTGTCATCCATCAATTCCATCTCAGAGGGCCCATTCTAGGCTTGCGGTTTCTAAACAAGTCAGGTTTGCGGACCAGATTGATGTGTTTCTTGGTGATGATGATGAGGTAAATATGAGCTGCGTTCAGGTAACGCAGGCCGCCATTTCCAATTGGCGTGACAAGCCTTGGAGCAGAAGACGCATCCGACCCAAACATTCGTGTTTATCCATCTCTGTGGCACCGCTGTCCGAAGTGGCCGTGTCGAGCCGGGATTTGGATTCCAGTTTTGATGCATTGCTACTGATGCAGACTGTACAGATGAAACATGATATCCATACTGTGCAAGAAACCAATCTCTTGGATGCTTTAGGGGAAGGGCAAACAAACACTGAGCGCTTGATCCATGGGGACCATGACCCAGATGGTCTTG